AATTCCCATGTCATTCTTATGGAGAATAAGTAAACTGTTGTAGTTTGCTTGTTTATGCATATATTTGGATCAAGCTTGGCCAATCTATTTATTTTATAATAAGCTATTAATACTTTACTAAAAAACACACTTTATTACACTGTAGGCAGCAAACCTAGGTACTCGTTAAACCTAATATTATTTGAATAGATTTAATTGAAAATCAAATCAGGCAAATGGAAATTCGCTTAGTCTGCAGGTTTGCTGCGGCGGGGGTATTTTAGTAACTGTAACCTGATTGAGGTAGGTATATCACTCGATGTAGGCTAGATATAAAAGCAATGACTTTATTTATTCTAAATTAGGCCTAGTAAACATAATCTTTGAAAAGTAAAAGGATATTCCATTCAATATTTATTTTCAACCAAAACGAAGTTTTGAAACCTATTAAAATGTGCTATTTGCTCACGGGTCTCCATGTTACCTAAAATGTACATCACATAAACAGAAAATATATACATTCAGCAAAAAAATAAGTGTTGAAACATTAAGTGGAAAAATATACTAAAAGAGTGGATCAGTACTAAAACAAAGTTTACAAAATAAATAAGTCATTTTAATTGGAAGCCTTCAACTCATCAGTCTTCGTATGTCTAAGGATGTTGCCTATATCCAAAGGAGAAAATCATTAGCTTGTTTGTTGATTCTACTCCAGCCTTGTATTGGGATTTGATGATACATTCTGTAGCAACATCACCTAGACCGAGCAGCCCGCCTCACCTTTATACTGAAAATTCCAATTCCGTCCCTCCTCCGTTTTTTTTATTAAAGGGGGTGGGTATATAAACAAAATGCATGAACATAACATTATTATTATACTACATAAGGTAACATTACTAGATCAGTACAGAACACCATCAGAATCCAAAATTAGGAGAGTGTGGCGTTGAAGAGCTATAACAGCGACAGATCAAACTATGCTGTTTAGTCCTCAAACAATTTATATTTCAAACAAACCTTGAACTACAGTAGAACCTTGATAACAAGACTCTCAAGGGGATTGTCAAATAAGACTTGTTATCAAGGTTGACTTCTTATCGAGGTTTGTAATAACTGTGATTAGAGGTAAAATAATTTTAAGGGGATTTGAAAATGACACTTGTTATCAAGGGCGACTTGTTATCGAGGGTCTTCTTATCAAGGTTTCACTGTATAAACATGACAGAAGTCAAGCACTTACATATCCTATAATGGAGTTTCCTTCCGCCATTGAAAGCTGTTTGTGGTTGTAGCGTTGTTTATTTTGCGGCCAGCAGCGAGTTCTAGGCCATTCTTGATTGCTGGAACGATCCGAAGCGCAGGATTGGTCACAATGCCGTTGCGCTTAGGCTTGCTAGCGGCCCTGTAAAACGACGTTGCTTGTCAACACAGGACAGTATAAAAAGCTAAACTATATTAAGATTGGCATGAATGTATTATCAAACATTTGAATGTTGCCCAAGAAGCAATTATAAAATTAGGCTTCGGAAGGTGCAGATGATACCAGACTGTCGCTCTATTTAAGGTAACATCCCTTATATCTTAATTTGTATTTAAAAAAATTACAATAATATCTTCCATGGAATTTCACTTTCCATGGGTTTAGCCCAGTATGAACACAAAGTATTCTTCAAGAGTTTGTATCACTAAATTGCAAATAATTATTTTTTTCAACTCTTTTAACATCTCATGTACTGTTTCCTAATATCTGCTCTTCTTTTAATACTTTAAACATATTTTATTCTCATTCTGTAAACTTATTTAAAATCAGGGACAAGGAATTCCTAGGGACGGACTAGTCCAAAATTGTCATTACAGCTGATTGGCGTGTATGACCTGACTCTTGTACCGTGCAGTACCCCCAGCAACCCTCAGCCTTGCCCTCAAATCCTGGCCAACACAACTGTATGGTTAACTTGCTCCCACAGAAATTATCGCATTTGTTTCTTTAATTCAACCACCGTTAAATATTCAAACCAACCAATTAAGGTCATTAAAAGACTATAGCAACCCAGCAGACCCACAGGAAGAGTTCTGTTTATGTCTGCTGATTCTACAGACATAATTAAAAATTATACTAGGATGATTTCTGTTTGTTTTTTATTATTCAACATTAGATTCATATTTTTGTTAAATTTGTATCTCTATATATACTTGTGTTACTTATGTTTTTTAAATCTGATAGTTATCATAAAAATTCTAAATATGTTAATTGTGTAGCAATTTTAAATATAATTAACCATTCATTTATTGCAGCACACTTGCAACTAACATTACTAGCCTCAAACTTAGTAAAAATATTCAAAAACACTAAACGGTATTTAATTTCGACCTAACAAATTCGTGATAACAGATGGTTAAAATCCAAATGTTTAAAAATACAAAAAATGTTAAAATAAGATGCTGAAAATAGCACAAAAACTAAAGAACCACTCATTTACCACTCAAAGACACCTTAGTAACATAATTTACAATTGTATTGGTAACCTAACCAGAGCATTGAACAACTTAAAAACTAAACATCCCAATTTATTTTACAAAACATTAAGTGCTGTTACAATTAAAATAGACTTACTTAGATCATTGTGATATTCCATAATATTATTTAATAAATTTTAACAGTGTATGGCAGATACGAACAACATAATATATGAATACATTTTAAATTGAGTTCAAAACTCTGTTTTTTTATACACTATGCATGAGACATGATGAATATATTGTGCTTGATGATTTTAAGCGCAGTTTCATAAAAGTAAACCATCATATTGGCAGAGTTAACTGATTTAAATTTAAATGTGGCCGTGAAAGTTTGCTTTTGGTTGTTACAATATTGAAGATTTTCTCCAAACCCACCAGGGTTCAAATTACAAATATATTATATTTAATTTTTATGAATCTATTTTTTGGCTGTTAAATAAACAACTCTAAGTTTTATTTAGTAACTGTAGTTAAATGCGGAGTATTCAAATATATTGTGGTAAATATTTATTTTTTTTTAAAGGAGATTATTTTCATTTAATTGAATTTTTTAGTCCCAAAATTAGGTTTTATCTCCAGGTCTTTGACTTTGGAGGCAGTGAATATCATCCAATGGGAAATTTACTAAAAATACTATGAGTTCACAAAAACACACTTAACTTCTGGTCTCAGAAAAAAATCCAGAAGTATTAGTGTAGTAAAAATATACTCAAAACACGAGTGATTGTCAAAAATCAACACAGGCAAACCCCAAAGATATGAATATTGGTTTGCTTGGTGTTATATTATTATGACCTCAGATTACAAAAATATTTATCTGGATACATGCTTCTTGTGAAACCTTTAACACTCTTTTTACTATTTCCGACCTAAAAAAACCAAAGTTTGAGTTAGGAAACACTCTTTTATAACACCATGAATTGCCAACAGCTCATAAACAAATTCATTAGTTTATTTATTAAAAGCAGCTTAGTTTAACTTTTAAAACTCCTTCATTATTTTGCTCCTGGCTTCTACATAGTGCAGATAATATACTTTACTCACACAGGCCGTGTCGGAGAAGCCTTGCAGCTGCCCAATATTATCCTCATGTGCGTGTCCCTCGAGAAATGATCATCTGGAAAATAATTCAATAATCAATTTAGGTACAAAGAAAAAGATCCAGTACCATAAAATCTTAAACTTAGTGGGTTATGTTTCTTCTCATAATTGAAACTGATGAAGAAAACAATGTATAATCAATGTGGTTGGTCAATGCATGAGCGCTGTTGAGTCAGTCTAGGTACAGAGGAAACACTCAATGGTACACCTATAGTCCTCGCCACCCTAACTTGAGGCAGCCCAAGGCCGCACTAGATATACGGCGTGCGGCCTTGGGCTGCCTCAACTTAGGGTGGCGAGGACTATAAGTGGTGTCTAGCATAGGCGTTGGTGTCTAGGGCAAAGTCCAATACCGCCCCCCTCTCCCTTATGTACTAGAACACCCACGGTGGAGGAAGACACTGTGCCCTGAGCGATAGGAATTTCTGCACAGTGCTCTCGCTCTGGCTCTACCCCGCTAGTAACAAGTATATTTCCCGCACAACATACTAGAGCTGAAACCACTTACGGTCGTCCGATAAGCTTGTTTCCCCTTGTACCTTCCTGTACTCTAACCACTATAGTAATACCAGAAACAAAAGAACCCTAGGCTGTTTCGAGCCGCGCAGGTTTGAATGGTACGCCACACCTACGAACCACGTGATCTTTTCGTTTCTGCGCAGGTTGTTTTGTTCGTGGTATGTCTATAGACTAGCTGTGCACCTAATATAGCAATTTATCGTTTGAATATGTTAGGGGAATACAGTTCAACAACAGACAGACGTCTGATCTTCCTGGATAGGCTTAAACAGTCACTAATTTTAGATCCGTGGTCGTCTGGGGTCGACCGTGTCAAACTCGACAAAAAACTACTGTTCACCTATATTTCAGCCTCGATACAAGTCAAGGGTATTCAGGAAAGCTCTGGAAGCTCCTAGACGTTGCGGTTCAAAGTGGTCAATGAACTTCAGGTGAAACATTACATTACAGGTCAGCCCTGTGCGGAAGTCAAGTCGCCCTGAAGATGGCGTATCGAGGCTGAAACGTCGGTCAACGGTAGTGTTGCGTTGTTTTTGACACAATCAACCCCAGAAGACCATGAATCTACAGATCAATGTATAGTTTGTGTACCAATAGTAATCTTGTTGTTGTTGTTGCTGGTTAACACTACTTGAAGACAAGATCAATAATGGAAAATTCATGTAATAATCCTTAAACAGCATAAACTCAACATCATCAATAACAAAGAATGTGTGACACTTACGGCAAGGATTAGGAGGACTGGCCGGAGGTGAAGCGTAGATTGGACTAGGAGGTTGAGACTGAAGAGGACTCAGAATACGAGACTTGCGCGAACATCTCTCTAGCTGGTGCGTAAATGACTGCTGAAATCACAAACATACATCAGAAATAATCAAAGTCACAACATGATGAAATTAGGCTTAACAGGAACATGACCTTAAGATGAAATAGAAATGAGTGTGGAAAGAAATGTACAAAAGAACAAACATGTCCATTACTGATTAACATGAGCTCATTAATTGGTCAGAATCATTACTAAAAGCTGAAAGGCAGGTTCACACGTGCGGCATTTATCGAGCGCCAAACATTCTCACCAAATCACTAATAGTGTGGATGAGTTTATCTACTTGTGATTTGTCGAACGACAGTAATTGTTGTTTTCTACTCAATGTTGGTCTTTCCTACACATCAAAGCAGGAAATGTGTGGGCCCCTCTGCTTGTAAGTCGGCAATATCAACAGAAATAGTTCACAAATAGTGAACTATTTTATCACAAATTGGGGCAAAAAAAATACGCAGTTCAAGTATGTTTGAATTGTGTCTTGGTAAATGTCACAAGTGAGGATCAGCCTTAATGTTTGTGATTAAATACTTTAATCAGTATAATAGAAAAGGTCACTAAAATCGTAAAATTTAAAAGGTTAACGTACCTTGTCTGTTTTCAGTCTTATGAGTAGTCAGTAGATTACTAGTTTTGGTCATATGATCCTTTATTAAATCCAACATCAAATTGAAGAGAGTATATACCCAACAAACGTTCTATGTCAGGTTTGATAATGGGTTATATGACCTGAATAGTATTCCATTGACTACTCTTAAGACTGAAGACAAACACAGTACGCTGACATTTTATATATTCCTACAAGAATGTGTATGTGTGTGTAAGAAGTGATTGGTAGGTCAGTTGTTATCACCTGAGACTGTTCTTTGAGAGAGCTCTTGGTGCTGTTGGTGAGGTTGCTGCTATCACTGGACACAATAGACCTCCGCTTGGTGGTGGACTCTGGTGAGCAAGATGGCGGGGCACTGGGACAGATGAGTGGCGGGGCTACAGCTCCCAGACCCAGACCAGCTGTAACAGAGAAACTAATGTTATCACCCTAGACTCTGGGAAAGAAGATGGCGGGGCACTGGGACAGATGAATGGTGGGGCTACAGCTCCCAGACCCAGGCCAGCTGTAACAGAGAAACTAATGTTAGCGCCCTAGACTCTGATGAGCAAGATGGCGGGGCACTGGGAGAGATGAATGGCGGGGCTACGGCTTCCAGGCCCAGGCCAGCTGTAACAGAGAAACACTTCCATAACCTGGAGAAACTAATATTATCACCCTAGGCTCTGAGGAGCAAGATAGCGGGATACTGGGACAGATGGTGGGACAGTGGTGGGGCTACAGCTCCCAGACCCAGGCCAGCTGTAACAGAGAAACTAATGTTAGCACCCTAGACTCTGGTGAGCTAGATGGCGGGGCACTGGGACAGATGAGTGGTGGGGCTACAGCTCCCAGACCCAGGCCAGCTGTAACAGAGAAACTAATGTTAGCACCCTAGACTCTGGTGAGCTAGATGGCGGGGCACTGGGACAGATGAGTGGTGGGGCTACAGCTCCCGGACCCAGGCCAGCTGTAACAGAGAAACACTTCCATAACATGGAGAAACTAATGTTATCACCCTAGGTTTTGGATATTGTCTGGTTCCAAATCCCATATTGGTAGTAAAAAACCACAAATTTTGATGTAGATAAATCACATTGAGGTTTACTCACTCTAACATGCCACTTTTCCTTATTCCCAATCATTAACAGTGGCTGGGCAATCTATAAGCCCTGGAGAGCTGACCAAAAAAGTGTGATTGTGAGAAACATTATACATTTATTTTTATTAGATTCAATTTCAACAAGTTCTTATAGGGTTTCAGCGTTCAGAACATTTCAATAACCTTTTAGAACTCAAATAATGTCGGCTCTTTATGAGTGCTATGTTGGTGTGAGAATAGTGGGGGTCAAATTGTTAAGAGTAAGAATTTGGCAATGTTGTGCAAGTTGGCTGGAAGTGATGAAGAACAAAAATAGTTGTGTTGACGTATAGAATGATGTCGCTCGAACAATGGGGGAATTAGGGGCAACTTGTATGTTGCAGTGGGTAACCTTCCACTTAAGGAGGTCTTTGATAGACAGTCTCATTGAGGATCTGGAGCCAAAAGACTTGGATCTAGGGTCCAGCTAAATGGTCTTCTAAGTTTTTCAAAATCAGGATTTTAATTACATCTCCTGAATGGAGAAATACCAAATGGGTACTGAGTTTTACCCATGTTACACAGTTAAAGTTTCGTTAGTAAAGACAGTTACCATTGACTTGAGCTTGCTCCAGTAGTCTGACGACTCCTTGATGACCACTCTTAGCTGCCACTTTGAGAGCGTTTCTACCACAATGGTCAGAGTGGTTGGGATTTGCTCCAACAGCTAACAGCAGCCTGACACATTCCTCATGGCCTTCTTGTGCGGCGATACCTGTAAAACACATCACACTTCACTATTGGAAATTGTGTTTCGTAAGGGCAGTTTACTCAAAGTGTTTTGGGGAGGTGAAAAATATGTAACTGTGGGGGTATTGGAAGGTAGGTTAAGTGAACTAGATTTATGACCTAATGTCTACCTACACCTTGCAAGCTAGGAGGTGTGATTGAACTGTTTACAAACATAACAAAACACTGCTTTATGACACTCAGTGGCAGTTTCACTAAATAAATAGGCCAACATAGGCATAGGGATCAGTCAGCTAGGGTTCAATACCCAAAGGATTACAGAAAAGGTTGGATGACTACTAGTGAGTAGTGACTCTGTCTTAGTAGCCCTTCTCTGTAGTTTTGGAAAAAAGAGTTGTTCAGTTTAAAAGTTCCTGCTTTATTGCATGATAAAGATTGTTTCAGCTGTTATTATTTCTTGTTAGATATTTATTTATTTATTGAATGTTTGTAATCTGAAAGAATATAATTATGTTAAATAATTTTAAGAAAATTCCTGGCATATTTGGAATTTTTTAAATTTTTTTTAATCTTAAAGGTATTTATAATCATTTCCAAATTTGCTACTGTTTAAGAAGTAGGAAATATATTTTTGTACAGTTAAAAGTTCACACTGACTCAAGATCAAGAAAAGGATGGAAAAGACAATTAGTATTATAAGAAACACTGCGGACAAGCCTTTTTATAAGGCTTATGCAGTTTTTGTATCGTAAATACATTGTATATATGTGCTGTACCAAGTAATAATAAATAAATAAAAGTTGATTATTTAATTATTGATTCACTTAAAGGATTAGTGTTTGGTTTTGGAACATGTAGTAAAGAATCGGTAGATAAGTAAATAGTAAAGTTGGGTAGGAAAAGAAAGTTCTTTGGAAACTTGATCTATAGGTCGACTTGCCGATAGAACGCTTCTGTTTAACTGTTCTAACCATTCTGCAAATCCTTGTAAATTCAAAGTTGGGTTAAAGATGGTGGTGTAAAAAACTCGGTCAAGTCATGTGTACCTATTCCAAAGCTAACAAACTCCTGATTGTACTATATTCAGGTTTAGATTAATAATACTTCCATATGTATATGCAAGTCATCCAAAGATATGTTGAGGTGGGGTTTCTTGTATATCATTATGGATACAAAAAGAAAGCCTTAAAAGTTAGGATAAAACAAAAATGTTACTTCCAACCATGTGTATCTCATAGGTGCTGCGGTCTAAAATTCTATTTTCTCTATACTTAAAATCACTGGTACTGTGATAGTTTATGTAATATAAAAGCTGCAGCAGATTACAATAAATAATACTTGCAGCTTGGCTTGGATGAAAAATTAGCGTTATTCAACAGAAATAGATAATTTTTATCAGCTTACTCTCTCAAAGGCTCGATTCAACTATATTCATTTTCATTATCAAACAAAATCTGTTCAAAACTTTAACATTGGAATGATATGTCAAGTTAATGGAGCAGTCAAAGACAATATTTTGTTTACAACACATCGCTGTGTAGTTAGCAAGTTTAGTTTACCGAGAGGAGTAGCTCCCTGGTTACAAGTGTGGTCGGGTTCTGCGTTGTGCTCCAGCAGTATCTGAACAATGTGGTAATGTCCTTGCCAGGCTGCGCTGTGTAAAGCAGTTCTGCGCTCGTTGTCTGTAGCGTTGACGTCTGCGTGTCCGTGACTTAGCAGTAAGGAGACCATCTCTCTGTGTCCTTGCCATGCGCTTACGTGAAGTGCTGTGCGGCCCTGCAAATACAAGACAGCAGACGATAAACAATAAACATTCATGCGTCAGTTACAAAGTTAAAATTAATTTGCTCGTTTTTCAGGAACTCGTCCCCTGAGTAGAGAGATCGGTCTAGAAGCCACGTTACCTTGTACCTTGAAAAGTCTAGGTTGTTCTCTCTTAATCCTCCGAGTGTCCCTTGTTTTGGCCTTAATGTCTGCCTATTTTTTGCTCATTTGCAAGGTTTTATTAAAACAGATCTGAGAAGCTTGAAAACAATGTTAATTATACTGTTCTATATACCATTTTGTTTGGAAAATCATGGGCTTCAATATTATACATAGAACATAAGGAACATTTTGTTTCAAAAAAAATTTTTAGGTAAAAAAAAAATATTTACAGAAAATTAAAAAAAAAATAAGTTCGCGCTCAATGAAATTGTATAAATTATAGGCCTATAAATATTTGAAAATAGCCACTTTGTTCTAAATTTTATGAGGATTACAAATATATAATAATATAAGGAAGTAGATTTGCAAATAAATAAGTTATGGGCAAAAAACAGATTTCAGTACATAGCGTTTAGCTAAGAATGCATAGCCTAACCATAGCTAGGAATCTGGCTGATAATTTACATCAATATCACGACCTACTTCTTCAGGATCATCAACCAGCCCTTCAAAATCACTTAAATCTTCTTATAATGCACCACGTATATCACTACTTTTGATTTTTTACACTAAAACAATGATAAACGTAATAAAACACATCAGTCATCGGTCCGAGGTTAACCAAGCTGTTTACAAATACGCACGTCAGCTGTCTGCTACAATATTTTCGGAACTAAAATGAATAGAGACAGACTTCCGGAGAAAGCTCTGAATCTGTCAAATAAAACGATACCTAACTCGATCCAGTTCAATCCGATTTTGTCAGTCATAGAGCCTTCGCCGTAAACAGTGTTTGTGAGTCGCTGCAGCGACACAAAACACTACACAAAGTGTGTTATGTGTCGCTGCAGCGACAAATAACACTCGGAGGGTTAAGGTAGATCAAGAGAATCTGGAAGTGTACAATATACAATATACAGTCAAACAACCCTAAAAAGGCACTTCGTAGATAGGGTGAAAACACTCTACTATCTACGAAGTAAACGTTGGGTCTTCCCTATACTTGACCACTCACCTGGCACTAATTCACTTAAGTGGGGCTGAGCGTACAGAAAGTTACTATCCAGGGATAGGAGGGAAATACTCAAGTTGCTGGCGATTCGGTGGTAAAATCGATATTTATGGAAAGACATTACTTTCCACCATAATCGATCCTCTACCGTCTCGCACCGGGCACAAGTGCCTTTTAAATAAACAATTTAGAAGGGAATTTACAAATGTGAAAACAAATAATCAGTAAAATGATTTTATCTCAATCTGATTAAACTCATCTTTAAAGAAATGACGTAAAACCTTATATTCATGTTATAGTGCCATCTTATTGTCGGAAAGATTGGGAACTGGCTAGAATAGTTGTGGGAGTGAAGAACACAATGTCGGTGCGATTCACAATTTTTGAAATGACAAAAGTTTTAAAATGCCATAGAAAGTCTTTAATAAGGGGCCTGTGGTTTAATCAGTGGTGAAAATAAACTGAAAATTTAGACAAATTGCTGTAATCTGGGTTAGGCCTATTGACAAGGCTTAATCACAACTGTAGGTACTCGCAAACATTCTAGCAGATTGTTTTACTGGGCATCAAGTTGGCTTAAAATCTACTGAATGTTGTTCAAAACGTGACGTCAAACAAACATAGTTGTAGAACAAAAAACTACACATAGCCTATATGTAAAAATAAAATAACAAAATTTAACTCTCTCGATTGTGAAAGTTTTAAGATTCTAATGGGTGTTCATGAGGTTTTCATAAATGTGTGTTTCAAAGTTTTTAATACATAAATATAACTTACAAACGTATACTACAGTTTCACACTATCAATCCTTATCGCTTATCTGGTCTTGCAGCAATATTTTTATTCGGATAGTCGAGAGTATACAGTTTAAATTTACCTTTAAACTTGGGTTAAATTTACCAGGGTTTAAATTTACCAGGGTTTAAATTTAAACCAGGGTTTAAATTTACCTCAGAGTCTCTCGCCTCTACATCCGCTCCCCCTGGGTCTATGAGGAACTTGGCCATGGCTACCCTGTTCTCCAGTGCCAGGATGTACAGTGTTGTTCTGGAGTCGGCGTCTTGTGCGTTCACATCTGCTCCGTGCTCTAGTAGGATCCTCACAACCTCCTGGTGGCCTTGGAGAGCTGCCAACCTGACAAACCAAAAAAATAATGGTAAACACTGTAATACATACAACAGGATCACTGTAAGAATAATTTTCAAATGTTTTTAAGGTTTTCGATGCTACACTCAGGTATATAGCTCAAACATCCAGGTAGTGGTCTCAAGAATGAATTTTGAGGACAGCTGTCAGGCAAGTTTGAACAATAGAACATTCATTATGTCATAGGAGATAATGACAATGTTACTGCAAGGTAGATGAAACCCTGGACAAGATCAGGGGAAATTTTGGAATTGATATTGTATCCAAAGTTACTTGTATCAAGATTCTACGGCTCCTTAACTCCACTGGTACTCAAACTTTTAGGGAATTGAAAATCTACATTGACCACCAAACCTGTACCAAGCCTGGTAGCTAAAACTTCAAATATGGATGATATTTGAAGTTTTACCCGAAAATTCATTGCTCAATCCACGTTTTTTATAGTAAAAAAATTCCTTAGCTCATTCATAGTTTTAGCTTTTTCATGGTTGAGTATGTATCCTGATCACATTCTGTTTATAAATTACATACTTTTAGACGAGGGTATCTTTATTTTATTTTGTGAAATGTTTATTATGGGCTTAACTCACCTTTATTTCTACCTGGTTAAGACCCAGGACTCCTCAATTACAATTAAACACAGCATTAATTAATCACAGCAACTTTATTTTTTCAGTCCTGGTTAGGCATCAAACTTGTATGCAGAATAAATATAAAAATTCCCTACCCTGAGAAAGTACATGTTTTAGGTTCCGCGAAACGTCTGATTTGATTTTCCAGGGCAATTCCTTGTGGTGTATGTGAATGTGTATAGTCGTAATTGACAAGTCCTTGATATCACTGGACAGAAAAAAAGGCGAATTAAGCCCATAAACATTTCAAGAACGAATAATCTAACACAGTATATGTACCTGAACGCCGTGGTACCATCGAGTGCCCGTTGGTCCACTAGAGCGCCGTATGTCTGCAGCAGTTCCAACACTAGTTGAGTATGGCCCTCCTGTGCTGCTAGCAGTAGGGGTGCTCTAGAGTCATTGTCCGTCTGGTCGACTTGTGCCCCTCCTTCGATCAGTGCAGCCACTACCTCCGTGTGACCTTCTAGACAAGCGTAGTGCAACGGCGTCCAACCGGAGTTGTCTCTATGCTGCTCGTCTAGACCTGCAACACAAAGAAACTCATTAACTAACACGTGTAAACTAAGGTTTCTAAGCGCATTTATGAGTGTAACAAAGGAAAAGCACAAGTATACGAGTTTTAAGATTAGGGGTCTGCGGGACAGACTCTTTTACATCGGGTTGGGTGGGGTAAAACTAAATACCCCCGCCGCAGCAAACCTGCCGTCTAAGCGAATTTCCATTTGGCCGAATTGATTTTCAATTGATCTATTTAAATAACATTAGGTTTAACGAGTACCTAGGTTTGCTGCTACAAGGAAACTAATAAAGTAGTGTGTTTTTAGTAAAATATTTATAGCTTACTATAAAATAAATAAATTTGCCAAGTTTGATCAAAATATATCCATAAACAAGCAAACTACAACATTTTACAATATTCTCCATAAGAATAACATGGGAATTTTAAATTTACCATTTTTTTAGTTTTGTCCGTAACCAATAACCGTACAAAAACACTTTGATATACTGAATTGTTTGTTTTTTTAAGCTCTTTAAGAAGGTTTAGAGAAAAATTGGGAAATTTTGTGTTTTGAGGGTAAGAAGTGAGAAAAACCAATTTTTACCCCATAAAACCCCCCATAAAACCCTGTTCCCATAGTCCGATCATGCTGGATCGCGAACTCATTCAAGTTTATCCCGCCTTACACCTTCAAACCAAATTTCATCAAAATCGGATAAAAATTACTCAAGTTATCGTGTTCACGGACACATATATATATAAATCTATATATATATATATCTATATATATATATATATATACATATATAAAAATTTGAACGAATGGTGTTTTTGGCCTCTGGGGACATTAAAATGAAAAAGTAAATCGGTCCCGGGCCTAAGTCTTACCATGAGACCTACGGTAATAGCTACTTCCCTATAGGGAAATTCGCTAAAATGTAGGCTGTGGGTCTCAGACCAAAATCAGGTAGTTTAAAAAGATAGATTTCATTAAAATATTTATTGTATTACTACAATCGATTAGACAAAATGTACATTATCTCCCATATCATGATGAAATTGTGGATATACTCCGCGGTCATGGTAAAATCAAAATCATCTTCTGTGACCACTTTAAAATCAAGAACATCTTTCATGGGTACAGCAAAATCGTGAGCGTTTTTGTGGTCAATTCACCACGGTAAAATCATGAATATCTGCAGTGACAGCAAAATTGCGAACGTCTTTTGCGGTAACAAAAAAAACATGAACATCTTCTGCAGTCAGTGGTCACAGCAAATCATGAACATCTCTTGCGGTCAAACGAAATCAAGAACCATTTTCATGACCACAATAAACTAATAAACATTTTCAAATTTCAAGGTCACGGTGACATCATAATTGCCCTCCATAATTGTTGAAAAATCGTGAATATCACACTCATCTTTGCAGACGCTTTCCAGGATCGTGAAAGTCGGCTCGGCTCGACCTCATCACGAAAATTATTCTGTTGGCTTTACCCGACCTGAAATATCAGGGACCCGCAGAGTGCAGACCTCTACTTAAGTATAAGCTAAGCAGTTAATGAGTTAAAAGATAGTGTTACCTCTGTGAAGAAGTTGGTTGACGACACTGGTATTTCCCTGGGCCGAGGCAACACTAAGCACAGTGCGGCCCTCAATGTCAATGGTATCCACAGTACAGCCCCAGAACAACAGTAAAGTGACCACATCGGTGTGTCCCATGGAGGCAGCTACCCACAGTGGAGAGCGGCCAGAACTGTCACAGTGATCTACATCAGCCTCAGCCTCCAGTAGTAGCTCACAGATGTCACTGTAAAACATAGATATCGTTCAAATAAAATTAGTTTGCCTCCAAAGATTGTACTACAGATAAACTTCGGGTAGTTTCTGTTTTTGTATTGAGTTGTTGGGTGCATCAACAGTAGGAAACTTTTCTGTATTCACAAACACTTTCAGTAGAATACAATTTTTCCCAAAAGTTAGTTGATTTAAGATTGTTTTATTTTATTTAATTAACGTTAGGTAAATTTCTGGAATCTGTAATATACTGATCAATAACTTTCTATGGGTACTTTAAATACCCCTTTTCTCAATAGGGACTTGTTACATTGGCCTCTAGCGCTGGACTTTGTTGCCTTAGTGGTAAAACAAGAGTAAAACTTTCTACTGTTTTAAAACTCTCCCAATCAGCCACCCACTTGGCTTTGCTTTAAAATGTTATGTTTACCTGTGACCTTCAAAAGCCGCTACTAAAAGTGGAGTCATGCCTTCCTTGTCTTCATGATCTACGTCTGCCCCTCGCTCCAACAAGATGTTTACCACCTGAAAAACAGTCCTGCTGTTAGTCTAATGTAAAATTTATCTTATGTAAAACATTAAATTTGATAAGCAACGTTGCTTCATTTTATTTAAAATTTAACTAATTGCATTCTCAATTAAAAATAACCATTAAATAACCTATGTCCGTCAATATTTTTTAACATTGCTTTGAAGGTAGATAACCCTTATGGCACCAAAATAAACTCAACTGTAATAGTTAGTTGTGTCAAGAGCTTGGAACCTACTAGCAAATAAAACAGTAAATTACAATTGAGATACGGATGCACTACAGTTGACATTTTGTTTAGCTAAGACTTTTACTAAACAATAATAAGTCAAATAAGTACTTAGACTATTTATTTTGCTATTCATTAAATGTATGCAGTAACAGTTCCTAAGTTACTCAGAGGTTTATTTGAAAACAGCAATGGTTGTTCTAAACGGTTGATTGCCTTTTGTTATTATTTGCGGTTTTTCGGATTTGAATAGAAAATTACAACCCACTAATATAGAGTGCCTAAATATAATTTTCTTTGTTTAAGGTATATTGTAGGTGATGATAGGTTTATGATTTTACAGACATATTCTTGCAAATAAAACTTAGTTTCACTGATAATTGATGGGAAATGAATCCAATAATCCTTAAAACAACAATTTATAGTAATGTGATTGTGATCATATATTGATACCCGCTATCGCATATCCTACAATCTTTAACAGATGTTAAAGATACAGCTGATGTTAAAGAGACAGATGTCGCTGTCTCCTGTGGTCACCTCAAGATCATATACATCACTTGCAATGGCGAGTACAATATTTCCCACTATCCCGGTGAATTTGAGATCACCATCCTTAATTGCGAAGACATAATTAGCATATCCTCTTTCATGGTAGCGGCAAAATCTTGAAAGTCCCAAGTGATCGCTTTGACATAATTATTGTTTTCAGAGAGTGCAGCAAAACTATTGCTAAGTAACCAATAAACCAAAACAAATATTTCCATCAATTTTCTGCATAGGGCTTTTCCTAAAAACCGACAACCGATTTGTCATCGTAACAGTTACTGAAGCCTTAACTTAAACTTAAGGCTTACCTTAGTATAGCCTTCGCTGATGGGGACACACAATGCTGCTACACTCAGAGCTGTGCGACCGTCGTTGTCATCATGGTTGATATCAGCGTTGTACTCTAGCAATGTCTCTACGATGTCAGAGTGACCCATGTACGCTGCAGCTATCAATGCTGTTCTACCCTCACAGTCCGTCTTGTTCACCTACACACCAGAACCAGTCAACAACAACAACAACAACAATACCTTAATTTATGGTAGGGATGGAAGGGTCTTGAATTTTCAAGAAATTTTCGGGAAATTTTAAATCTTGTTCTATGAGATGAGATTTTATTTTAATCAAGATTTTTTGAGGCAAGATTATGAAAAAAAAACCTGTTAAAAACGCCTGCAGAAAGTTAATGCAATACCCACAAAACAGAAGCGCGTTATTGTTGCGTTTTTCTTTATGAAGGCGTTTTTATTTAATTAATTCTTTACCTGTAAATATTGCTTTAATTGTTTTACAATTTTTTTGTTTTGACATCGCAAATGATGAGAAGTTTTGTTAGGCCTAGTGTAAGCAGTGTAATAAATATTTTACTACTATAAACAAGTCACTCTAAAATCATTCTAAAAATAACAAAGACTGGAAAATTGTTACTGATACTAAACTAGTAAATGATGATTTAGACTAATAAATTTGTTTTGGATAACAGATATTAGTAGAAATTATGAAATTGAACTTGTAAATGAATCACAAACATTAAACTTACATCGGCACCAGCTTTAAGCAGAAGAGTGACAATTTCGTCATGGCCGCCCCACGCTGCAGCTCTTAAAGCGGTTCTTTGGTCTGCGTCGCAATAATCTACATTGGCTCCAGCTTCCAATAAAATCTCTACCACCTGAACAAAGTTTTCAACAAATTTAAATTATGAAAAATATAGCAAATTGATTTCATACTAAATTCATTCCTTAAGATGACTGGAGTACAGTTTCTGTGGCTATCAACTTAAGTAAACATATTTAAAGGTTTAGGGACATTTTTGGTAAGGTGTAGAAACACTTAATCCCAAGAAGTATCTAGCAAAACAATGTATGGTCACTGGGACTCAATGAGAGGCACTTTTCCCCCCAAGTACTGAAACCATAAAAGATCATACCCACACCCTACAGGAATAAAAACACCACTGCTTTGCTATCCTTGGTTTTATAGTGTTTTTTTTTTTTTTTTGTACTAGGACGCTAGGCACGAGCCTGGGATTGTTTTTCACATTTACTTCAGACCTAGGGGTTGCGGCATTATCACTTAGATAAAATCCATTGGTGATTTGGCGGGGATAGAACCCAGGACCTCAGGGACTGAAGTCCTGCGCTCTAACCACTACGCCAGCTAGCTCCCCAAGTTGGTTTTATAGTAGAAAAAGCTAACTATCTAAATATTTGAAATACAAACGTTAAAAATTTACTGGACTTTTGATTTTACAACTGTACTGGAAACACATAAATATGTACCCAAACTTTTGGGTATAAGGCCATATTACCGTAAGATGGTTTGATTCCAGTTTTTGGTCAACAAAATTTTAACTACACTATTCTAAATTATACTTTAATCGCCCATGTAAATCATGAATTATATTTCGACATTGATAGTACATGGTAGTTCTAGAGAGAAAAATAAAAAGTTGTAGAACTAGGTATGTTCTACTGTAGTAGCTTTCTGAATTATTTAATCAGAATTACTTACACTCTGGTGATTTTACTATGTGTGCTAAAGCACTCCCCAACAACAACAACAACAAACAGTGTAACAAGTGTCAGATTTACCTGAGTATGTCCGCCCCATGCTGCCGCTCTAAGAGGGGTCCATCCGTCAGCATCAGGATGGTCTACGTTAGCACCTGCACTCAGCAACACCTGTACATTACAAAATTACACATGAATAGGATGGGACAATCTCTTCCTTTCAATATTTGCAGAATTAACTTATAGCGATTTAATTCAGTTATTAAATACTTAATATTTTATTTGTATTGATTTTAGCATAGCCTACAACTTAAGGTATTTTGCAAATTTTTGCAAATTACAATCTGCAACAAATAATTACTAAAATGTTGACAAAAAATATTTCAAATTCTCCCAACTAGACAAATGATATTCAAGTAGGCTTAGTTGAATCTGCTAAAGGTATAAACAGACTCCACAGGTTGGACCTCGGACGATGCTTACCTTAACTACTTGGTGATGGCCAAGACGTGCAGCCAGGTTGAGCGGCGTCTGGTCATGTTTGTCAGTCTCTTCGATGTCCACTCTTGTCTCTCCTTCCGTCAACAGCGTCTCCAGCATCTGGTGGTTGTTCTCAGCCGCCAGAGTGTGCAGATCTCTCTCCATCGGACTCTTGCAAACCAACTCTGCCTGGGGGGACGAGCAACTACCTTCGCTTTCCTGCACCAACATACAACAGATAATCACAATATTGCAGAAAATAGAGCAGGTCCCATAACAGATCCTTGAGGGACCCCAAATTAATTCTATATAATTTTGGGATTTCATTACAGACTGGGGAATCGAGTCAAAACCTCCAATTAAAGCCATTCAAAATATTTCTGGAAGCTATTGGCAGCTAAACAATTCTAACTGAATAACTTTGATCTTATGAGATAAGGATTTTGTTATATATTTATATGAATTCATGGCGCAAAAAATACAAAAACTTCACACTAGGACTATGCACAAAAATTACAAATTATTCACTGTCACTGACAGTGTTTTTAAATAAGGAAGACGTGAGTTGGGATTAAAGATGTGTCTTCAGGTACAGTAGAGTCCCGTTAGTCCGAAATGGTTGGGACCGGGCCCATTTTGGATTACCAAATATTTCAAACTAAACAGTTTTTTTGTTTTTTTGTTTTTTTGTATTTTTTGAAAATTTTGAAAATTTTTTTTGTCTTAGGACGCAGGCACGAGCCCGGGATTGTTTTTCACATTACTTAAGGCTAGACCTAGTGGCTGCAGCATTATCACTTGGTAAAATCCATTTGTGATTTGGCGGACGAAAATGAAAAATGTTAATAATAGTGATGGTCGGATCCGGATATCGGACTACCGGATCTGCCGGATCCAAGCTAGAACCGGTACCGGATCGGATCCAAAAAATTCCAGATCTTGGGCTGGATCCGGTTTTGATGGATCCGATTTTTTCCGATTATTTCCCGATTTTTTTTACTAACACAAAGCTGTCTGTATCCATGTAAAAGACCGATTTTTTCCCGATTTTTTACTCAATGTCACAGTACTGTATATTACGACACCAATAACCTCTATGGTTGTGCAATGTCACAGTACTGAGTACTGTATATTACGACATCAATAACCTGTATGGCTGGGCAATGTCACAGTACTGTATATTACGACGTCAATAACCTGTATGGTTAGTCAATGTCACAGTAATGTATATTACGACGTCAATAACCTGTATGGCTGGGCAATATCACAGTACTGTATATTACAACGTCAATAACCTGTATGGTTGGGCAATGTCACAGTACTGTATATTACGACGTCAATAACCTGTATGGTTAGTCAATGTCACAGTAATGTATATTACGACGTCAATAACCTGTATGGTTAGTCAAAGTCACAGTACTGTATATTACGACTAGGGATGTGTCAAATCCGGATCTCGAATCCACCGAATCTTAAGAAAAGATCGGGATTCGAGAATATATTTTTTAGAATAGAATTATGAGGCATATACTGTGACATTGACTAACCATAGAGGTTATTGACGTCGTAATATACAGTACTGTGACATTGCCCAACCATAGAAGATATTGACGTCGTAATATACAGTACTGTGACATTGCCCAACCATAGAGGTTATTGACATTGTAATATACATTACTGTGACATTGCCCAACCATACAGATTATTGACGTTGTAATATACAGTACTGTGACATTGCCCAACCATAGAGGTTATTGACATTGTAATATACAGTACTGTGACATTGCCCAACCATACAGATTATTGACGTCGTAATATACAGTACTGTGACATTGCCCAACCATACAGATTATTGACGTCGTAATATACAGTACTGTGACATTGCCCAACCATAGAGGTTATTGACATCGTAATATACATTACTGTGACATTGCCCAACCATAGAGGTTATTGAAATCGTAATATACATTACTGTGACATTGCCTAACCATACAGGTTATTGAGGTCGTAATATACAGTACTGTGACATTGCCCAACCATACAGATTATTGATGTCGTAATATACAGTACTGTGACATTGCCCAACCATAGAGGTTATTGACATCGTAATATACATTACTCTGACATTGCCTAACCATACAGGTTATTGACGTCGTAATATACAGTACTGTGACATTGCCCAACCATAGAGGTTATTGACGTCGTAATATACAGTACTGTGAAATTGCCCAACCATACAGGTTATTGACGTCGTAATATACAGTACTGTGACATTGCACAACCATAGAGGTTTTTGACGTCGTAATATACAGTACTGTGACATTGCACAACCATAGAGGTTTTTGACGTCGTAATATACAGTACTGTGACATTGCCCAACCATACAGGTTATTGACGTCGTAATATACAGTACTGTGACATTGCCCAACCATACAGGTTAAACAGTACTGTGACATTGCCCAACTAATATCGTCAACTAATAGTTTCATTTTAATATTTGGAAAAGTTAAGTGTCCCCAAAAAATGAGGGATTATGGGCTCAACTGGAGATTACTCTATATATAAGATATATTAACCTTTAAACATTACCAATTTAATTTTAAACAGTATGATTTAAATTTAAGTTGGCATTCTTTTAATTACGTTTTTTAACAAGCCCTTATGACAGTGTGTATCTGGATCCGGATCCGAAGATCCGAAGATCCGAAGATCCGGATCCGAATTTTTCAAGATCCGGATACGGATCCGGTACCGACATTTTCTTGGATCCGCCCATCACTAGTTAATAACAAAAATGGTGAAATATTTACTAAAATACTCTAGGCCTAAAAAAAAAGTCTATCTCGCCCGGCCGCTACAGAATACTTTGGCGAGATGCAGCTAACTGTGTTAAAAGTTTAACAATTTTTTTTTTCAGAAAATCTTCCAAAAAATTTTAGAAATTTTTATTTTTTTATAAAAAAATTAAAAAAATATATTTTTGGTTTCCGATTAGGCGGACTTTCGGATTACCGAAGTTCGGATTATCGGGACTCCACTGTACAATGACGGCTTAATTTTACTAACCTTATCGTTAGAGTTAAATCGATTCATAAGATGAAGGCAAGTTTCTACCTGAGGAGTGTGAGAACAGGAGTTTGCTTCATCTATGAGTTTAGCAGAGCGAGGATCACAGCAGAGGACGTTCATCTGGTCAAGCCTGACTCCGCAGTCCAACAGCCACACAGGCAGCAACGGTGACAGCGCAGTATGATGTGGTAGACAACTCAGATGTAACGCGAGGCTTTCTACCTCCTCAGCCGATAGACTTGGTCCTCTGTAATCAACCAGGGAACATTAGGGCTCAGTCAGAATCTTGATATTCAGGACAGGACAATAGGCCAAACAAAGGTGGAAGTCAGGCAATTACGGGATGATTTTGCTACAATCGCAAGAGACTATCACAATGTCTATGTGATATGTAGGATTTTTACGTGATCATAGAAGACGATGAATGAGTATAATTATTTTCCTTGAGAGTTAAGTTGTTTCTATTATTTGCCTCCTAGCTTGGAAATCTATACTAAATAAATAGGTTAGTTACCTGGTCAATCTTATATTTTTGTAACAGATGACTATCTTGGGTGTGTGTACTTTACATGTGCGAACTCTATGTATTCATGACAATAACAAGTATTCAGCAGAAACTATTTTGACGGGACAAAATGTCTTGAACTGGTTATTTGGATTTTGTAGCAAAATTGTATGAGTTTAAACATTTGTATTTTTTTGGAAATTGAAAAATAGAATTAAAAATCTGTTAAACATTTAAGGGTTGAAAACAGTAACAAGAAACTTATCTATTTATTTAGTAGAGAATAAAGGCTACATCCAAAAAATATGAAGGCCTATGTGTATGATAGAACAATTTTCCATCAACAATGTAATATTTTTCTTGTAATGTGAGTAATAAATAAATTAACATTAAGATGTTGTAAACTTTTGTCATCAATAGGCAAAAGTTTACCAATATCTGGACTAAATATTATATTTTTTTCTAGTAGTTGGTGTCCCAGGATTTGGTGCAAGAATGACGGGTTCGATTCTAGGTATATCCACAAAACATTTAATGGGTTCAGACTGCTGTTTGTTGTTATTCTAATGACTATCTTAATTATGTAGGTATCTAATAAATTGTTCATTAAACTTTTACATGTATCATGTTTGCACTAAAACCAGTATTAAAGTACACTTATTAGAATCCTGCAAAGATATTTCTGTGGTTACAGAAGTAGATTATGATGTCAGATATCACAGATGTGTAAATGCCACTAGACATGTGACAATATTGAAACGCAAGATAAAAACTCATGATATCACTTTGGACACAAGATTAGATAACTATGTCAAAGTGTTATCTGAGATAATTAAGAATGATGAAGTTTTATTTCACTTAACATTTAAATAAGTTTACAGAATATACATTTTTATTTGAATATGAGACGTCAATATCTTAAGAAATAAAAATACTAACAACCTATTAGACACTGCATTTTAAATATTTATTAATATCAAACAAAAAATCTTTAACATCAAAATAATACTATTGATAATTTTTAACGGCATTTTAAAACGCCAAAAGTTAAGTACATTAGATGTGGATGTGTACACAGGTTGTACGATTAAAGGAATTTTTGTTATATTATGTGAATTTGGATTTCAGTTATTTTAATTCAACACTATGAATGTTAAAATCTAGATATTAAAAATTAACATCATTGGGATTCAGCTGAATATTTATTGTTCATTAACAACCTGACAGTTAAGGGTGTAATATGAAGCACAAGGTCGTTGGTTGTAAGGACTTTTGTTAGGATTGCAGGCTTATCTGAATGGAAAAGAGTTCACTCCGGCACAAGAAACACAATAGTCAGGAATAGAGGTGGTTACTGGACAAGTATGGTAAAACACATTTAGGACGAGTCATGTAGGATATTTTTTGCCATACTACTCTAAAATAACCTAACAATAAAAACTGTACAAATCTGTATATATATTCCTACCGACTAATGGACTTAACAATCACTTACAATTCATAACTTGTAGGAGAGGTTTTTGTTTATTGATTCGTTGACTTATTGCCAATTATAATCAGCTGGGCAAAAACTCATTACAGTACAGTAGCAATAATAAACCCCATTTGATTAAGCAGGCGGGAAACAGCTGTTTTCCGAACTAATTTCATGTGTGGAAAATAGACTTTCCACACACTTACCACACTTTTGGTTTTTTCAAATAGTAAAACTGTGTAGTGTGGCAAAAAATACATTACACTATATAAAAAGAAATTAGAATACCTATTTTATTGTCAATGAAAGCATTTTTAACCAAGTTTCCTCTTCAAAACTCAAATCTTTGACAGTAAAATATTTTAATTTTGTGAATAGTACAAAGATTTTTGCATTTCTTGTGCCAGGGTGAACTCTTACTCATTTAAGTAAGCCTGTCACCCTTAAAACTGACAGTTAGGCTACTTGTATGAGAAGTTGTCAAAAAATAGTAACCTTAGAGTTAGTTGCATGGCGAGCATAGCGTGTCCACTGGCCGGAGAACAAAGAAATCTCTGAGTGCAATGTTTGACATCACACAACCACTCGGCAAACGAGTGATGGAACGGTCGTAGCGTCTCATCCCGAGCCAGACACAAGACTCTACGCAGCACTTGACACCTGCGTCGTAGCTCCTCGCTGCTGAGGGTCGGCTGTGACACTAGCAAACACTGACACACCTGCTCTTCGCTCAGCGGCCTCTCAGAGGCGAGCACGATGTTGAGTAGAGGTCGAACCTACACAAGTAGACATTTAGTGTTGGACTGTCCCAACAATTTTTTTTTTTGTGTTTCACTCGCAGAAATACAATGAATATCTGGATGTAGCACTTCTCGACAATTTTTTACTGGCGGTTTTCTTATATTGTACTGGGGAGGGTTTGGGCTTGATTTGAGGTTAGGTTAAGGTGTAGTCCATTGATGTTCACTGGCCGGCTATGATTCTAGAGTTTTAAAAATTACATTTATTTTGCAATGACAACTTTAATTGAAGCTAAGCTAATGGGGAATGGTAAATTGAAATCTACTGAAATTTCTTAGTACACTTAGCCGCTGGTATTATCAGGTAAAATACATACAAACTTACGTTACCTTATAATTTACCTGATATGACCTACCTTAAGTTATTACTACTCTTAATAAACAAAATGTTTTGATTGGTTTCTATATTTTTCAATCAGGGTGTCTAACAGATTTCTCAAATGGAATTCCCGACTTTTCATTAGGCCTACCATTTTTTTTTCATCCCGTCCAAAAACTTGGTCCATTCTCCATGTTACTGCCCCTTTTTCCGTCTCACTGTCACGGCAACATCGTCAACATACATCACGATCACGGCACTATTTTCAACATATGTCCATCAAAATTTCTCTATTCTGTACTTTCTGGACTAGTAAGACCAACTTTACAAGCAAAGGGTGTTTGAAGTTAGTCCAACTCTGAACTAGTACAACCTCCAGATATGATATAATGGTATTTATTCCGTACAGGTGCCTCCAAACGAATTTTTAATTTTGATATCTTACTTTATAGTTTTTTACCTCCTGAATCCAAATATAGGCCTACCATTAATTTTCACCGCTGATGAATATTTCTCAAGATATCGCCGTAAAAACATACTTAACATTACAATAGACAAGATAGGATGGATGACATTTACAAGTAGAATGAACTGTAGGTTAACTAACTTAAGCCTTAAGCCTACTTACAGCTGATTGTTTTCAACCACACAACAAGATTAACTCACTCTGATTCTGTCACCAGCAATATGCCTAGTGACGACATTTTACTTCACTACAAATAAAATACAAAACAAAATACTCATTCGTACTCATACGTGTTGCGTAGTGCTAGCTAAAGCTAAGTTAAGTGCTATTCTGTCTGCTACGCCGTCGCCATCACGATCACAAGTTAAGGTTAAGAGAGTAACATGGTTTATGAGAAGAATAACATCATTGACTAAAGATAATAACATCGTTGTAGAAACATATCAAGTGATTCTATAGTCAATAACTTAATGTTTACTACAATAGGAATTTCGTCTCATTATGGAGATATAGATGGAATATGGACTAATTACTCGTAGTTCTTATTTAGGCATGTCAGGGTGGTACGTCGTGCTTTATGTAAATTGGTGACTGCATTAAGTGTTTTGAAGTTAGGTTAGATTAGGAAGGTAAAGTTTAGGTTATAATGTATCGAGTTGTTAATTTATGTCGCCTACAGACTGTTTTTGTAAAATTAAAATCCTGGGAAAAACACTTTAAATTACTATTTCAAAAATGCTTGCATTTTTTTGAATTACTATTTCAAAAATGCTTGCATTATAATTATGTAGCTCACTCACTTCACAAGTCAAAATATTTTGCGTACCACTTAGTAACTGTCGGTATATATAGATAAAATATGTTTATTACTACTAGCCTATTTCCAACAATAAGTACAAACATTTCCCCAGATGTTTTTTGTTCGCAAGATAATAACCTGTGTGAAATAGTTGTATAAATTATGAAATAGTGAAATGTGAGCACTGATTGAAAAAGTTTTTTTTTTATTTTTGCTCATAATACATAAGTGTTATTATTCCAAGCCAGTCACATAATCACAGCTGGGCATCTGACAAATAACAACAAAACTCATAGACTTCACAGTACAGTAAACAAGTGCCTGTACGGCACACCTTACCTGAAATATCTAAATACCTAACTTAACCTAGGCCCTAATTTATACAAAAAATGACAAAAAGTACCTTAGAAAAGTGTTTGTTGCTCAATAGTCGCTGGCAGAGCCACAAGTACAGACCGTTGAGAGTGCCAGGAATGTCTCGGACTTCGCGCAAGACAATGCAGCCTTCGGCCACACCATCGAGCACCCTCTCTAGATAGAGGAAGCAACCGTTACTCTTGATGTGCAACTGATTCAGTGTCTCCGCTGTACCTCTGCACATATGCTGCCTCAATGATTCCTCCCACTCCAGTCTCGATAAGATGTATTGTTGTACATCTCTCACCACCTGTGACAGACATTGGATATTTACATAATTAACATAAGATTAGGTATAGGACTACTATACCAGTTGATTCAATCAGTTGCTAGGAAATATCTCTACACATTTCATGTGTCTGTACCTAAAGTCAATTCTCAGAGACACTTAATGGGTAAAGTGAATGAAAACTAGTACTGTACATACTACATAGTTCGTACTATGTAGTTCTAACACTTGCTCAAATCTATGTGAATAAGAATTAGCTAGAACAAGGTAGCAAGTACTAGGGGTTCCCTAAATGATGTAGTATGTACTACCCTCTTAGTACGTACTACCCCCTAGTACGTACTCATAATCAAGGCACAACTGGAGCGCGGCGATAATCTGTTTTGCCATTCCTGTGTGCACCTGCAGTTTTCTCAGTCGTGTTGGTCAAATAGGCCTAGTATTTGGTTAACAGCGCTTGACGACAATTTTGATGGCGTTGACCAGGTATTGCAAGGGGGTAATAGGACTTTAATATTGATTTGTGAGCTGCGAAAAAAAAAACATTTCTATTACTTATAAAAATCTAAAATTCCGGGCGTGGTAAAGGGGAAAACAGTGTGAGGTTGAAAATGTTAGATGATATAACAAAACTCTTGGTAAGGATTTTAACAGATAGCATGAAAAATTCGATGAAGAAAAAAACGTAGAGGAATGTTAAGGGAAATAAACCGACTAAGCTTAGAGAAGGAATTGAGATCTGATAGGAGGAAATGAGAAATAAAGAAACTTGTTGGTAAACAAACTAACAATATCACTCTAAAATCACAGTAATTACTTACAGTTACCAATACTCCTTATTTCAAGGTACAAGTTTTCCTGTTATGGGCTTGTATAAACATCGCCATCTTCGCAAACGACCAAACTGAAGCATGCCCATGAGCATACTACATAAAAATGAAGTAACTACTATGCGGACCGGTTTTTATTCACCGAAAAATCCTAGTAGATACTACGTTCCCTAAATGACGAAGTATGTACTAGGGGTAGTACGAACTAGCATTTTATTCACCTGTAAGCTGTAGTTTGTACTAGGGGCTAGTATCAACTAGCATGTTTATTCACCGAAAACCGAGTAAATACTTCAAAAAGAATACGTACTACCAAATAGTACCTTTTATTCACCTCACCCAATGTCATTATTGGTAGCCTACTTAGGTGCCAACATGACAAGGGCCGATTAACGAAGGGTCTATGCCAGTAGTTCCCAAACATTTTGGTCTAGCCAAAACCTTTACCTTATCCTTTACCTTGGATTTTATTCCCAAACCACCTTCTTTACCTATCAAATAATGTTCATACTAATTATTATTACTATTTACTATAAAAATTATATTATTACTGTACTGTTATCATGTTGGGATCCTACCTGAGAATCAGGAATAGTAATTTCCTAAACAATTGACATTTTAACATCCTTTTTCAAAGTTAAAAATCTTGTATATTACTGTCAAATTGTAAGTATATTTTAATGTAAAACTCAGTTGTTACTCGCTGGGTGCTATTGATCGATCTAGTGATCACTCAACGGTATTAAGATAATTACCCAATTTTTAGATACGGATTGTGAAACATGTTCAATAAAATTGTTCTCTTCACAATAACCTTAATTGGTCCCATGACCCATTAGTGGATCGCGAAACATAGTTTGGGAACCTCTGGTTTATACAAAGGTAAACTTTAATTAATACTGCCATCAGGCCCATGCCCTGTTTGTACCGAAAGTACAGTACATAGAACAAACATTAGTCAGGTAATGGTACCAATTTCGAAAAATGGTACCGACATATCACTACTTGAACGGGCTACTTAAGCAGTAAACGTTCCCTAGTGTCAAAATTTAATTCAATTTCAGCTTGGCGTTTGGTTTACGTTTAACACTTGTCAAATTTTATAAGGCCTACTGAGAACTGGTTGTATTTTAATGGCTATAAAACAACTTTTTTCTCTTGGTGTTTTAGGTCCTAGATGTGTTTTTCATCTTCTTATCATACAGTTAAACATGGATATACTAATTGGAAAACAGAATTTTTTCACTCCCAAAGAATACAATCTTTCCTAATAATTGAATTTGAATAGAAGCTTTACAAGGAAGCCTAAATGTATGATGGCCTGAAGTAGGGTACATTGCCAATGTAGCCTACTTGGAATCGTATCTCGGGTCAAATCATTTTTTCTAATAAGTGGGCTACAGACTAGGCGTGTATTTAGGCGTAGGCCCTACTCAACTAATATATCAAGGTTATGGTAGGCTGTTGGGAATAAAGTAAACAAAAATCATTTACCTGAGATTTTCTGAGGTCATCCAAACTGATTTTGCGAAACCCAGAGAAGGTTTTAGCGATTGTTTTGCTTTGTCGGCGAGCCGTCAAAACCAGCAGGAACCATGGAGGAAACAAATGGTGGTTGTTGGCCAAAAGTTCTCCGATCGTTCGGCTAGGACCATTACTACTTTTCTTTTCAAACTTTGTCCCAGATATATGGGATTCATCAACAGAATCCACGAGCATAAAATAACACTGAGAAGGCGGAGGTTTTATCTCCGCAAGAGGAACTATGATACCTTTGCGAAAACTGTCATCTGGACTTTTGATTATATTATCTCGTTGAAGCGCACTAACTACTTCCGATTCAGACTTTAATCTTTCACTAAACTCTTCGGCTATGGGTGCCAGTTTTTGTGACAGCTGTTCAGCAATGCTAATAATGAAATCGGTAACTGATAATGTCTTGACGTCATGGGCTTGGCAGAAATGATAGGCCAAGAGCCTCTTATTGAGGCATCTCTGAGGCCTAGCACTTTGTCCACTTCCTGGCCAGACAATCTCACAGCACAATGCAGTCTTGCCGGACCCCGGGCCTCCGACGATTACTGCTCCAGTCGTTTTACAACTTCCCCTCTGATCCAGGCAGTGAGAAAGCTTAACAAACGCCCACTCACGACAATAAAACCTTTTTCTTTCTAAATGGCAGGTTGTCATTTTGTCTTTTATTGCTAAAAATAATTGTTAATATATTTCATCTCCCTAACTACAATTTTCTTCTTCTGTTTCAATAATGAAGCACTATTTGGCGGCCATAGGTAGTCTTGCTCCTGGCCTACATTTGTTAGGATTTATATCTGGTAGCCACAACATAGATGTTAGAGAGTATTTTGATAAATTCATCTCCGTTAGTTGTAAAGTGTGGGCTATCCTTTCTAAGTTAGTGCTGGTCACATCTGATTCTTGAGTTGATCTGAAAATAATTGACGGATTAAAGTTTTGAATTAAAAAATTGTTTTAGGGACACCTCATGGCTCCCGTTAAGGTTGGCCCACAGTTACTTATGGGTCCAGTTTTGGAACCTAACAAACAAAACAAAATTGAATAGTCTGGAACAATGTTAATAACTATGCCTACTTGAATTTCAAAAAAGCATTCAAAAATTAATTTTAACAACAATTATGAGTAATTTAAACATTTAAACATACAGCCATTGATGGTGTCCTCTAGGCAGCCTATCCTAACCAACTGACCTCTTGTGCCAACAAATAATGGCGTATTAACCAGGCCCATCTGCTATCAATTGTTATCGATCGTTTTTACTCATTTTAGCGAATTTCCCTATAGGGAAGTAGCTATTACCGTAGGTCTCATGGTAAGACTTAGGCCCGGGACCGATTTACTTTTTCATTTTAATGTCCCCAGAGGCCAAAAACACCATTCGTTCAATTTTTTATATATGTATATATATATATATATATATATATATATATAGGTATATATATAGATTTATATATATATGTGTCCGTGAACACGATAACTTGAGTAATTTTTATCCGATTTTGATGAAATTTGGTTTGAAGGTGTAAGGCGGGATAAACTTGAATGAGTTCGCGATCCAGCATGATCGGACCATGGGAACAGGGTTTTATAGGGGGTTTTATGGGGTAAAAATGGGTTTTTCTCACTTTTTACCCTCAAAACACAAAATTTCCCAATTTTTCTCTAAACCTTCTTAAAGAGCTTAAAAAAACAAACAATTCAGTATATCAAAGTGTTTTTGTACGGTTATTGGTTACGGAGAAAACTAAAAAAATGGTAAATTTAAAATTCCCATGTTATTCTTATGGAGAATATTGTAAAATGTTGAAGTTTGCTTGTTTATGGATATATTTTGATCAAAGTTGGCAAATTTATTTATTTTATAGTAAGCTATCAATATTTTACTAAAAACACACTACTTTATTAGTTTCCTTGTAGCAGCAAACCTTACTCGTTAAACCTAATAATGTTATTTAAATAGATCAATTGAAAATCAATTCGGACAAATGGAAATTCGCTTAGACGACAGGTTTGCTGCGGCGGGGGTATTTAAATATGTTTTAGTGTTTTCTGCATGGAGTCGTTAGTGAATGTTTTTCTTTTTTATTAACTCAGACTGACTATTGTGCGCCAAAAGGACCCAAAAGGATCGCTATTTGTTAATTTTGTTGACCTAGCCTATTGCTTTAATGTTGAATGGCCAATAACATTTTAATTTAATTTGATTTTGATTTTGCTACCGAGTGCAAAGGAAGTGTTTACACACACACACAGAGTCTGACGGCAAATCATAGACCTAGGCTAATCTACGTTTAAACTATGACAATCTATCACTTTAAAATTGCAAAAGAACTTCAATGGTCTGATATTATTGGTTAGGGTATTTTTATAAGCAATTCATGAAACTAGTTTAAATTTTAAAGATTCATTTCAATACATATATTAGGCCTAGTACCAGAACCACAACTGAAAACAAAAAATGTATAGGCGTAATAGAAATTCAGTAACAATCGTGTAGAAAGTCTCTGTTGATGCAATCTTGGTGATAACAGTGAATACTGCATTTCTTTCCCTGTGTTACTGAACATAATTGTTGTAAAGGAAGAGCAAGTTACAAAGAGAGAGATTATGGCCTACCTAGGACTAAGTTAGTAGATTGAGGAAGTTAAAAGGAAGTTTATCAATGCAATCTTGGTGATACCGGTACGAGTTAATACTGCATTTCATTCTCCAAGTTACTGAACAGAATTTTTGAAGAAAAGAGTAAGATACAAAGAGAGAGTAGGGATTACCTAGGACTACAGTAGTAGATAGAGGATGTTCACTACCGTACCGTGTACACATCAAGTTCACTACACCGGCCATGCAATCAGTGTATCCACAAGACCAAAACAAAAATCTCACTTACTAGGCCAAGAAAATCATGTTTTATCCCGCTTAAATAGAATAAAAAATCCTATTTTATCGTACATTTATTTCCTTGTTCTATTTCGAGTAAACTTTTTGGTGTATCATGTAGCTGTTTTGACCTCTAGCTATGATTCTGTAGGCCTACTGGGATAATTTAATCAAGATAATTTAATCAATAAGGGATTAGTTTTTATCTGAAGAGCAGTATAAAAAAGAAAGCCAGGTGTCAACATAAAAAGTTCACGTTTTATCCCGAATCCTGTTTTAATCCCGCATACTATAGGCTAATCTGGAAATTCCATTTTTTTAATGAAAATCCCACATTTGGAAACACTGATTATGACTGTTGAACAGTTTTTCCACATGATAAAAAAAATCCGAAAAAAGATAATCTTAGGTAGGCCTACTTTAGTATTACTGATGCCACCCTTATACAGCGCGCTGCGGCGGTTACAATGATAGATAGCGGTTTAGTTGGGTTATCATAAATAGAAAGTATGGCTCATCTGGTATCGTTCGATTCATAACGAAGCGAGGATAACCTAACCTAACATAGCCGCCGCAGCGCGCCGCTGTAAATTATGTGGCCTCTGTATATACCAACGTACCAAATCCTGTTTTATCCTACTTTAGGATAGGCCAAGTAAAAAATCATGTTTTATCGTCGCATGAATTTCACGAAAAAAATCTCGATCCATCTCAAGTAATCTTTTTGAGGTATCATGTTCAAATGGCTCTTTAAACATTGCTATAGGCCTAGTACTATACCGGTACTGCAAATATTCAATTAACTAATATAATGTATATATCTTCCAATGTCTTCTGGAAATTAAGGCAAATGAAGTGCACCTTTTGAGAAACAACCGATGTACATGCCACAAGAAATTGTTTAAATGTTTTTATGCAAAGACACAGGCTGAGCAAAACAATGAAATGCTTCCCTGTTTCAAGAATCAGATTCTTCAATCACCTACCTGCAATTGCAAGGGACTTGCCTATTTCAAGGTTCACGGCAGTATTGAAGGACTGGTTGCTAGACAACGTGCGGAATTTTTTTATGTTTTTGTTATAGGTAATGATATTGTAACAAATACGAGGAAGAACAATCTTATACTGTACAGTCACCATTGCCAACATTTCTTACTGCAAACTTTGATCGTGTTTTAATCGATAGGCCTATACATGAAAGCGCTTCTTATGTTTTACCCAGATTCCAAAATCAAATCAAATCGTTTATTGCCAAAACAAAATACATTGTATAGCACCGTCAAATGTTCACAGAATATCTTATTATCTAGGGCAAAAGTTTAAAAACTATTTTAATGAAATGAAATTATCTAAAAATTCATCAACATTAGGCCTATATATACAGCTAAACTACATAACATTGCTACGACGGTGTTCTTGAAAGACTTAGAATTCTGACATTTTATATTACTCGGCAACCAGTTAAAAGCGTATTTCCCTAACTCACAGTGTTTGTTTTGTTTTATATTGTTCAAAAGTTTTATTTTATTTGGGTATTCCCTTGAAACGATATCTCTTACCCAAAGGTTTATTTGATTTGTTGCTTGTTTATTTATATGTTTATACTTTGCACTGCGTTTGCATGTTTTTTTGCTTTAGTTTTGTTTTTGCATGGTTTGTTTGTTTGCCATTATTATATCTAGCATGCATTTGTAGCCTAAGTAAATATGGACTATTTATTATTATTTATTTTGTATTGAAAGCGACTTATGAATAAAGAATAAGTTATTTGATTGATTGATTGACATAGCCTATTGCATCGCTTAATGGCCAAATAAATCATTGAATCATTGAACTGGGTTTTTATCGGATACAGCTCGTGACATCTATGCTGGCACTTGGACTAGCGTGGGCAGTGTAGGCGGGTGAAGGTAAGGAAAAGACCGGACTGCAAACATTTCCGCTGCCTCACGGGGTTGCCTCCCCTTGTATTAGGCCTATGTACGTGAGTGCCTTCATATGGGTCGCGAGGACAGCTGATGCAACCCGCATGACAGGACATAATGTTTTTTAACTAGATACTAACTTAGTAGCGATCGGCCAAGTGCCAGCTTAGATGTCAAGAGCTGTACAGTTTTGCAGCTGAATGTACACTAGCCTACAGATGAAATAGGCCCATTAGTTCAATATTTATATCGTATTGGATAGAACCCAATATAAAATATTGTAGTAGGCTATGTTTTTCAAAAATAATTTGTTTATGATGCTGTTACGATTAGTTCAGTTTGATAATTTCAAACAAGGTAAAAAACATAAGTTGACATAAGGTTAAGTTACCCTATAGGCCTACTTAGCGTAGGCCTAATTTGTTAAAGAGATGCATTCATCTCTTTACAAAGTCTTCAATTTATATTCATAAGTTACTAAGTTTTATAGTAAGTTACATTATTTTTTATGGAGTTTCTTAAACTAATTTAACTAGGCTTAACTTAACGCCACACTAGCACACTAGCACACTGTCAAAGAATGGCGGATTGGCTGGTCCCTACTGACCCATATAACAGAAAGTCAATATTTATATTCATTAAGTTAAATATGAATATTTTAACCGCTATCCAGGTCTAAGTTAGGCCTATACATAGGCCTATCTATTTTTTTTTTCATTCTAACAGCCAATATACCGATACATAATAGGAAACTATGAAAATCAAACTATAATTAACCTATCATCCTAATAGGCCTACATTGTAAGTTAGGTTCTCTAGAGAACTGTACATTTTTGGGATTTTTATCTAAAAGTCAGGAAGAAAAAAGTTAAGTAGGCCTAAGGGGTCAAAGCCAAATATCCATTTTTATCCTGCATCCGGTTTTAATCCAGCTCATGGTCCAAAAATCCCATTTTCAGGATAAAAATCTCACTTCTGGATCTAAATTTAGAGCAGTTGACCAATACTTTCATGTCCCTACCAAAACTTGGCAGCTCCTGACAAAATAATAGGTTCTTAGGCCTATGCATAATGATGTAGAGAATCGTAAGGAACAGTAGAACCGGCTTAAGTTAGGCTAGGCTACTTGAGAGACACGTCCAATTGAATACAGATTCTGACAATATGTCTTAAATTATTACAAATAAAAGCTTCCACGGACAATGGTAGAGTAAAAATGAATAAAACAAATGTTTGCCTTCAGACTTGATAGCCTAGGCTACTAGGCCTACTTGAGTAGGCAAGGCCTAAATAAACAAATTGACCCTTACCTTTGCACAACTCATATTTGTTGGAACCTTGAGGCGATGAAACATTTGTAAATGCATATCGTAGAATATCAATATGTATAAGAAGTTACACTTAAGATTATGACCAATTTATCAATACTCAAATTGCTGCCTCTTCAAATGTAAACATCTAGGAACAGCTAATATTTTACGAACGACTTCTATAATATGCGTTTATTTTCATATCGTTATATATACATCATCAATTGCACAAGAAACAGAACTAAGTATATTGTTTCAAGAATAAATTAGTTAATAAATTTCTCAAATTTGAAGTCCAAGAAAATCAATAGTTTAATGCTAACTTTATGACAAAAGAAAATTTGTTAAATCCCAATACAGACGAAACATTCTAAACGAAATGGACTAAACAACCATGGCCATGGAATGGAACTAATGCCCATGTTCCTCTAATGCAGTACAAAAGGGAAAATCTATAAAGCGTAAGCGAAAATAAGAAATGTTGTACTATAAGCTATGTATAAATTATGTATACAGTTTATATTGAAGTCAAATGTTCCAATAATGAAACATCAAACAAATAATTGAAATAAAACCAATTATTTTTTTTTGCAATACAGTAGGAATTCAAATCGGCATTTATTGTCTTTAAGTTATTTAAAACCACACGAAATTGTATTTTATCAGTTTAAACTTTTTGCATAAGTTAAAAAAAAATATTTAATACAAAACAATGTTAACCATTTTATTATATTTGATGGATTAGGTAACTGTTAGAGTGATTAAAACTGCGTTATTTTGCTCCTAGGGGAGCAGGTTCAAGTTCCGTCAATCACCAATGTATTTAAACAATATGTGGCAAATCCTTAGCCATCAGTGGATCGGGACTCATCTCCAGCACTCTAAGTACACTAATCAATCACAAGACCTCCTAATTATTTAATCCATGAAACAGCAGGACTTACTTCTTATACCAAATCATATGATGGGTGATTTGTAATTTACCGTACTTATACTTATTATACTTTACTTATAATAATTATTTTCATCCTTGGCCAACGGTCATCTTTCTCCAATGGTTGGATAGTTGCGTTATAAAACATTAATATGTACTTATAAAAAAAAATTATAAACATATTCTTACGCTAGTACACGCAGTGATTATAGTCAATGGGGATTTTTAATTGAGAGGAGAAGGGCTCGTAGCAATATGATTTGGGGTTTTAAATCAGAATATTAGAGTTTGTGTCTTGTGTTGATTTTATTATGTAGGAAACCTCTCTTGCAGGAGGTGGAAAGTTGACATGATGGCACCTTATCAGGATGACACCTAGGTGGGACCGTGTACAACAATTCACCACCTTAGATCAAACGTTTGGTGGCGGGTTGTCATGGTGGCACGATGTCAGGGTGGTACCTAGGAGTGTACACGCCAACAGTCCTACAATGAAGCGTGGCTGGGTTTGATACGACAGTCATACTTTTTTATCAAATATATCATTATAAATACAATACTAAAATAGTTATTAATCTACAATGTACACAGACATTAAAACCGTTGGCTTAAAACGGGATTTCAAATTTCATAGTTCTACATATAGTAATACTTACCATGATGTTTGTTATCGTTCCTTTCCTTAAATGTTTTATGTTGGTACACTCAGGACTTTCTACAAAATAAGCCACGGCCCCAATTCCACATCATATTTACTTTTTCTTTCTTCTGCTCCTGCTTATTTTCAGTTGTTTACGTGAACACCTGCCTTCAGTTTCAATAAAATTAATTTGATATTTTATAGAATATTCATAATTTGGGCAGTGCAATTTCAAACTATAATATTGTTTCGATTTAGAGAAAAATGTTCTATCCCTTCGCATTATTAATGTTTAGCCTCTACGCTAATACTGAGGCCTATTTCATTACTGTAGATGCCCATGCTGAAGAATGTTTCTTCGATAAAGTAGAAATTGGAACTAAAATGGGTATGTTTACTTTCCAGTTATTATCCTAATTCAGTATTCTATCTAGTAAGTACATTTGAAACAATGTTTCAAAGTAAAACCTTTCAAACCAAAGATGATGAAGTAATGTAGGTTAGGTTTTCCCCGACAAGCCAAGCCAACTGCAACTCCAACTGGAAAGATTACAAAGTGTTTCAATAGGCCTAAGTTAAAGAAGGGACGAATGCCCTCACTGCCCCTTGGTTTAGACAAATTAGTTAGACATTTTCCAGAAACAAACAGACATCAGGCTTACCTGATCCCCCTGAATCACCCCTTTTGTGTATTTCTGATGAGTTAACTTTTTCTTTCACTTATCAACAAAGATACATTTTATCAATTAGGCCTAATTCAAGTATGCAGCCTTATTTTTAATTACTTTTTCATATACAGAATATTTAAATCTAGTCAACTACCGTAATCTGTCTTACTAATAAGTTTTCAACCTTAACGGTGACTGAAACTAACTTAAGTTTAGGTCATTCTTTGTTATAATCTTGCCCTGTTTAATTTGTCTGTATTGTGAGAGGGGTGGACTCGTGATCCAAGCACGTCAACCAAAGCTTATTGTGCATGTTCAATTTGTTAGGTAAAGGACTAGGTTTACGATCAGAGACATGTAAAATAATGTATGTACCAACTGAATCGTTTTTCCACATAGTTGCCTGAACAGTGTTCCATTAAAATGCTCTACTTGCTCTTGGATGATTATGGATTTATTGAGATGAATGATACCATATTCTGAACAACTGTATTAAAGGCAAGAACTATTTTTGCCAGAATTAATGGCCTTTAATGTCTTAATTCTTAAATGCTAAATGTTTTAAATTGACATGGATCCCACCGCTACTACTAATTGTAGGCCTACTTACTGGTCGCAAATAGAATCCAAGAGTCTAATCAGAAATAAAAAATAATAAATTTGATGCTGGCAAAACTTGAGCTTAGTTTTATTGTACTTTACAAATACATTAACTGTACCGGTATTACCATAGTATGTAAATTTTGAGTTAAAGCAACACTACAATGGGTGAAGCGTGAATAATTGCTTTGATGACTATGTCCACGTGCCTCCCTCCCTATTCCAACACGGGGTGAAGTAACTTCAACGTGACCCTTTGTTCCCCGGGTCGACCTCTCTGTTCCTAACATTTGGATTAAATTTACATGATTTGCCAAATATTTGATAGGCTTTAGCCTGAAGGCTGATGAAAACTGAAACAACGGTCACAACATAACCTATAACCTATATAAAAATGCAAAAACATCTACACTTTCAGTAGCTAAGGGACAGTGACACACTACATAAGGGTGGCTGTGTACAATAATAGTTTTTTAAGCTACCATTTTTCTTGAAATCATTTGAGAAAAATAGGCACCTACACACAAAAAATACTTTTTGTGAAACACAAAAAGGGTACTATAGGAGGATACTCTGTAGTAGATTTGATTAGATAGACTCAAATAGCATATTCATTAAATGTTAAATGTTTAAAACGTGGAAATTCATCTTGACTAAGTCCACGTTTTATCATCTCACTAACCTACCATGAAAAATCAATTAAAAGCTTGAAAGTGTCAGCTTTAAGGTATATATATATATACATTAGACTAAATATAAATGTTGCTACATCTACTGCTGTTTTTGCAGAAAAAGCTTGGATACAGCTAAGCATAAGTGAAGATGAGCATTAGCTAGAGCTTTAATTAGGTATTTTCCGAGAAAAGTGCTTGGTTTGTACAGTAGTTAACATAAGATAAATTACTTACCGTACGTCAGAAAGATACTTGACCTAGGATTTACTTAGGGATTTCTCTTTTTTGTTTATAGTGTGATGATATGTTAAGCGTAGGTTATGTTTAAACAGACTAAGACACAGCAATAAAATTATCCCGAAAACTGGTCATGTGCAAACTGGATCTGTACAATGGACATAATTTAAAGCTCTATAAAAATACATAGGCCTACTCAAAACGGAAAATATGCCTGGTAAAACTATCCATTACAGAATCTGTAGTCTACCAGGATTTGTGTGTTTTAATTTATATCCAATGATTTCAGGTTTGACATTTGAAATTTCGGAAGGTGGGTTTTTGGACATTGACGTGAGAATTGTGGGACCAGATGGTAAAGTGATCTACCAAGGTGAAAGGGAAACCAGCGGAAAGTACACATTCGCTGCTCATCTTCCTGGCAAATACACCTACTGCTTTAGCAACCAGATGTCTACGATGACACCCAAAGTGGTTATGTTTGATATGGAAGTAGGCGATGCCCCTAAACAAGACGCAAAAGCAGAAGGAGATGAAACAGCAGGTAAGGTTTGAAATGTGGCGTTTCTGTATGGCTCAAGGTGTATTAGGTGTATACTTGCGTATCTAACCTTCAAATAGCCGCACCACAGTAAATCTGCAGAATATGTTAATTATTATTGCTTTGAGTTTGTATTCAATCGAATTCATTGTAGAAGAAAGTTTACATTTAGATTCATACTTTTTAAATTGTCTCTCTGAGTTCATGTTTGCCGCTACAAAGAGACGCTAAAAATCAATCTCAATACCTGTTGTTTGTATTGGGTTTCATAAACCGGCTATAAAGAAAGAAATTTATCGTTTTTCATAAAGAAGTAGGTTATCATACAAAAATAAAAAGTATATAAATAAAAATTCATAGCAATGTACAGTGATGAAATAGTTCGTAACGATAACACGGGAGCGGGTAGACACACCCATAACACATACCTAACACATTTTGCGACTTTAATATCCTGGTTTCAACCAATAGTCATGGGATGGAAATTAAAGACAAAATTGTTTAATTATGTTATTAAATTCCATCGTAAAATGCTTGAAATTACACTGTAATACTTAATGTAAAAGCTGGTTAATAGTGTTGCTGTAATTTGTGATTACTGTCAATGAAGTGTTAGGCAAATGATGATTTGGGTGTTGGTTCTCGGATCCATGATCTTTTCTTTTAATCGAGTTTTTAACATGAAACTATTTGTCATCTCCTGAGATCGTGGCAATATCGTGGACCTCTCCCACGGTAGCGTAGCTAGTCGTCTTCTATGATCCCGGAGACTAAGGGAATTTTCAATTACAAAATCGTCACAGCCGCTCTCTGCGATCGTGATAAAAGCTTGATTTTCTGTGTAGATGCTCAGCCACTCGAGTTTTTCGTGGCTAGTATCTTAATTTAGTCAGGAATTTTAATCATCCTGCCTGAAGTCTGTCAACTATACGTGTGTGGCAACACTGCGGTGTCCCTACCCTGTTCCGTTTGTCTGCTATGACCCACTGCGATGGGGCCGTGGTTCTGCCCGTATCTGGCCTAAGACCGTGACCCTTATCAACATCACAAAAGATATACAAATACAGCTGTGAAAACGTGTAATTAATTAGCTTCCTGGTTTGGGGACCCTGACAGAAGGACTTAAGTTTTATAAGAATTCATCATCACCGCTCTTGATGTTTTCCAGATCACGTGAAGATGGAAGAGATGATCAAGGAACTGACGACGTCCCTGACCAGTGTCAAGCACGAGCAGGAATACATGAGTGTGAGGGACAGGATTCACCGCAGCATCAACGAGAGCACCAACTCAAGGGTAGTTCTGTGGTCGTTCTTTGAAGCTGTAGTGCTATTCACGATGACAATGGGTCAAGTTTACTACCTAAAAAGATTTTTTGAAGTCCGAAGAGTCGTTTGAAAACATTTCGCCGGCCTCTTACAGATCCTTTTCAAAGCCACGATGGAAAAGACAGTTAATTTAAATTCTAGTGAAGTTGAAAATGTACGATCGGCCGTAGTTTATGTTATCACTATGGTCTAAAGTTTTTTTTTTCGACAAACTCATGTAAGGAATTAAGCGAGAGTAAAAAAGACTTTTGGACACGTTTGATAAACTATATGTTTTGTAATACTACAACATTCGTTTAGCTAACTATAATTAATTCACAAAACCTTTGAAAATTTTTTACTTTTATAAAATTAGCTATCGAAATTCTTTTTATCTAGTTTTACTATTGAATTTGAACAGATGTTTCCGTTTTTGGGAAGCACAAGGTATTACTCCGCCAACACATTGATATATCTAAATTACTGAAAAATCTTTGTTTAAATTTGTCTTTTTGTTGTGAAATAAATGTACTATGGGACATGATGATACACACAATAAAAATTATAAAGACACAATTGTGTTTTTTTTGCATCGGGATACTTAGTAAAGTCGGTGGATGTATAACTAAAAGAATTGTAGATGTTTTCTATTGGTTTCTTGAGGTAAGGTTTTTTGTAATGGTTGATTATGTTTTATATTAATACTCTTTATTCCTATCATCAGATGCACTATAAATGTGTATGACAATAGGAAAAAACATTACAATTTGTAGATAGGCACTTTCCCTCTTTAAATGTATAATGTTTTTCAACAGATAAGTAAAAAACACTTGACTTGATAACAATGTTGATCTATCAAGTGGTTGTTCCAAAATACTTACGCAAGTATATAATGCATAGTTAAATAATTTTACATGATTTTTTGATAACTATTCAATGGCTTTAGCTCACTGATCAATTCTTTAACATTCTGAACTGTATCTGTATCTTGTTTCCCTCAACTTTTCCTAATCCACCTTTTAAACTAAACCGTGTATCTTAAGTTTTATTTAAAGATAGTTTTGAATAATATATTAATTACACATGAGAATATGAGGAAGCCAATTGAATTTTGCAAACTTATTCCTTGAACACTCTTCAGGATTTCCAATCTCAACACATGTGTTAGTTGTTTTTTTAACATATTAAATCAATCGCTGACTATTAATTATTGGCTCTTCATTCTAGTAACCGCATAAGACAGGAATCAAATCACTTTCTTCAAAAAAGCTTGTATAGCTTCACATACACAGCTATCATATTTCCTTGACACTGTTGACACCATTTTGTTTTCGTAAACAATGTCAGTTTGAATGAGTAAACTTTATAAATGCTCGGCCAAAAGTCCCGATGCCAAGAAAATATATATTTAAAAATAATTACTGTTTGTGAAGAGTATTAAAAGTCCATTAAAGAGTGTTTAGTTTAATTTCTAGCACAATTAGAGACTTGTAGTTCAAAAACTTCAAAAACTTCATCCGTTTGATCACAGAGCCAGTTCAATGGTTATCTTCCATTTATGTGTGATCAAATAGAGTTTTGAATATTTCATAAATACTACCATAATTTTCAATTTACTATCAATACTATTATTTTTGTAAAGCTCATTTTCAACTTTCTTATTTTCCTGTCAAAATGTTGGCCTGAGAGTGTGTTTAATGTTAGGAAATTAATGTTTTTATGTGACTGGAAACTGGAAAATTGCTTCTAGTGTGCTTACCAGTATTGTAAGTCAGGGTAAGGAAGATATGTCATATTTGTAAATATTGTACAATAGATAATAGTATAATATTATCAAATTTCCTTTAGTATTTATAAAGTAGGACTTTCTATAACATAATATCCAAACATAATATAAATAACTCGATTATGTCAATATACAACCAGTCTCAAGTTCGTGTTGGAAATAGTTTTTACATTTTCAACATTCTCTGTCACAAATTACAATGGTTGTTGATTTGTGTTACCTTTGACTATGGTTAGAATTAGACATTGCATTTCCATGTTCAAGTTGTCACCAGTTTTATAACAAGAATGATCGTAGTTGAGTTCAGCTACAGAAATGCGTTAGTAAAAATTACTGAATTCTATCAAATACGCAAACTGTTTAACCTGTTGGAATACCGAAACTACATAACCTAATTACACATAGGATTTTTTATTTTTGGCTCCTTTTGTGACTTAAACAACTACAGCTTTCTCATTCATTTCTATCTTAAATTAATATCTTCCTCCTCTGAAAGATTGGGAGACAATTTGCAATTATCTATGGATCGGTCCATTCTACTCGATCGTAAACAAGACAGTGGCGCATGTTTACACGACATAATCTCAAAACTCACTTGTTTACTAATTTTGTTTTCCAAAACTCGTTAGGCAACCAAACTATCAACCTGACAAGTGCTGCGATCCCTCGGAATAATTCTGAACTAGTAGCAATGTCTCGGAGCGCAATGCCAAATCAAATCGTCTTTATTTCACATTGTACATAAATCAGTACACGGAATGGCGTCATAAACGATATCTAAAACTTAACATAAAGAAATCAAGTCTAATAGAAATAAAAAACACTAATTTAACATATATTATTCTAAAGAGTATAGAGGTTACAACAAGTAATACTTCAAATGTTTTTTAAATTTTAAAAAACATAAGCAGCGGCCAAGTAGGGTGGGTTAACAAAGCTAACCTTAACAGACAACTCATTGTAATCTGCCTCACATCTATCGTCACTAATCGGCAACGACTGGGACATATAATGTAATGTCTTTTTCAATATCATGAAGTCAATGGTTATAGATAATTTTCAAGTTTTATTGATATAATTTTTTGTGTATGGTTGCTTTATCGTGGAGTCTGACTTGTAAGTTTTATGTTGGATTTGTTTTTTAGAATAAACTATACGTAATTGTTTTTCACTTTGAGCTATGTTTTTTTTCCTTTAGACACCTTTTTAAACAAAGAGCAAAAAGTTGAAGGGAATGTGTTGTTATTAATACGGGGTTGGGCAAAACGGACTAAGCAGTTCACTCTAGTACTCTGGCTGACACATGGTGTGGGTTTTTCCGACACATTTGGCTTTGTAATCGGTCTCTCATTTATACCCAATGTTGAACTTTTGTGACGCTCGCGTCACGGTAAATCAGCTGATCGCTGGAGAACTTGGGGGGGATATGAAGTGCGGGGAGGGCGTCGGAGTCGTGTGGCGGATTCAAGACCGTGTGGACGGACTTCGATGGTCAAGGCTGGAATCGCCGAATTGATAAGTTTTCCTTAGTCTAAGATATTTAAGAATATGTTCTAACTTTTCAGTAAAGGGGGGGATTAAGGGGTAGGGAACTATAAATTATTTCAGCTTAATATGTAAATTATACTTTGTAAATTATACCCATAAGGTACGAGTGGAAGTTTTCAGTGTTCTTTTCCTTATTATATTTAATTAGATGCTTTAGAAATATTAGATCATCAAAATGGCTGTGGTATGGATGTGGTTTGGCTCAGTAATTAATTTAAGATCATTATTATTCAACTCAGAATGTCGCTAGCAACACTAGATTGATTATATTGAGCCTTAACGATCCTTATGAGTCCAGTACCATTGCTATAAACTATAGTAACACGCTTCACTTTTATTTGGTTTATTTTAACATTTTCTTACCATTACACTGTTTCAAAACCCTCTCACACTTCCCCATATTCTGTTAGTTTAAATCTAATACAAGTACCTCCTTAAATCACTCGAGCATTGATAAATCAAATGGTCTACCACAACGTTGGTCAAACCCCAAGAGTATTAGTTCTAGCTTGACTCACAGGTTGCAGTACATGTCAAGTAAAGCTTTCATCTGTTTTCGTTGAGTTTTACTCGCATAGATAGTTGAATGTGAAAGTTTGATTATGCTATTAATGTGTCTGATATACCTGCCCTTAAGCTCAGAACATTATCACAGTCTGACATATATGTATATTATATAGATTGGTGTTTGAGGTGTGCTGGTGTTACAGCTGATCAGAAAATACTGCCACATGTTAATATTACTGACAAATCCCCAACCCTGGAGTCTTCACAAATGTTCGGTAAAACTTAAACCGAGCTATTGAAATTTCAAAGTCACATATTTTGCATGTTTTTGAGTTAGTGGTTATAACATCATCGATAAATTGTTGTTTCTGACACACACATTTTTAGACATGCAATTTCTTTCATTGGTTTGTACAATGCAAAAGTTTAGTAAACATCGTCAACACTGAATTCCAAAGCATTCTCCAAAACATAAAAATATCTGTTATAATATTCGATAACTAAAAATAATAACAATATTAAGCGCTAAATGCAGAAAAGGTTAGAACAAAAACACAGAACTCAAGACATAAAGTTTACATATAACCTACTTGTAACAAAGGCTTAATACTGAGAGACTATTTACAAATTTGTCACCGGAGTTAGTTGAAAGATATTTCATGAAGACCAACAAGTTTGAGAAGCATGAAAACTGCTGCAATCTGGCTGCATCTGTGGAGGTAGTAAAATCTGTGAACAGACACAAAGTATATGTTTAGTACAGTTCTGCGTAAGTGTATTATTATAATACAGTAGAGTTCCATAAACTCGGCATAATGTGGGCTGGAAGGGTGCCGAGTTTGTGAAATGCCAGGTTATTGGGAACTAGAGTTAAAAATAAGAACTATACAATTTTTAAGTTTTTTAATTGCCTTTTTTAATTAGATTTATATTACAAATCAGTATTAAGTCATCAGATATAGTTCAACAAATCCTTAGTACGAGTTGCAAATGATTATACTTGAGCTGGCTTGTGTCCATTTTTAACTTGGACTCAAAAAATCACTAATTTTCTGAGCCAGGTGATGGCCGAGTTATCCAGACTGCCGGGTTATCGAGTGCCGAGTTTGCGGGACTCTACTGTAATTCTAGTGTTAAAAGCCTGCTGTATCAGTGCAGTTTGGATAAAAAACCATACAATGCGAAATCCTGTATTGAATCAAACTTGGATGATTTTGTATCCTCAGAATATGGTTTGAATTACGTACAACAAGGTTTTCAGCTGTTGAACAAGCATTTATGAAACTGTGTATCAATTTGCTAGCTATAAAAAGAGTAAAGTACTCTTCAAACTTCCAGAAAAAGTTAAATCTTTACTTTTCTTGAAATCACTCGGTAGAAAACATTATCACATATTATTTAGTGTTAACAATCTTATATACTAAAAAACTTGCAAAACATGACAGCTAGCCTGACCATACTACTGGACCGAATTACAAGCGGTTGGTACCAAATGAAAGATATTTTCCTGTAGATGTGCAGAATCCCTTTATAAATTAAAATAGGCTAAAAAATAAAAATAAAAAATGAATTTGAATTAAAAAAAAATAACATGGGCCTTATGGGTTGCCATGTTGGTGACCAAATAATAACAAAATATAAACAGAAAATCAAAACAAATTAAAGAAATTCCAATCACATGTTTTATTTACAGCGTGGGTTGAAAATAGAGAAATTTGCACAATACATACTTTGGTCGAGTTTTCGACCACGGGGCGAGCTCTCGTTAAAAACTATCCTCAATTACAATTTATCTCAAAATTATTGTGTTTGTATTGAATGTTTAATTTTTTAAATTAAAATAATTCCTTACCTTTGCAGCTTTTGTTTTGCAGTGGGCAGTGAGTCCATGGAGTCTTTCAAGACGTATTTGCGGATTCCGACCATGTAGTGTTTAATATACTCATCCCACCTAAGTTGACTGACGTCTGACTGAAATAATTTCCGATCCTTGGCTGTCATATTGGCGCTGAGAGACTTTTGGTTATCACATTTAAAGTCCCACTCATGAAGAGCGAAGAATTCTCCTACTTTGGCAGTCCTCTTGAACTTGTCGCATATTCTCATCATACTGGAAACAGAGAGTTGTTACCTGCTTTTCAACTGCAAGTTATATTTGATTCATCACAAGTAGCAATCAAATTATTCTAATGGTAACAAAGTTAGCTACAAGTGGGTTAAGCAGTAAACAAAGCCTGTTTTACTAAATAATTGGTGTAAATACCTGCATTTATGCGATCAATGTGTTGCTAATTGCAACCGGTTTCGACTCACAAAGGAGTCATTGTCGTGCCAAAAAGCCAAATGCATGTTAAATTTATTTATTTATTATGAATTGACGACCTTCGAATGAAGCAAAATATCTGTACTGGCCCGACGATGACTCATTTGTGAGTCGAAAACGGTTTCAATTTAGCAACACATTGTTCGCATAAATGCAGGTATTTACTATTTACACCAATTATTTAGTATTTGAATGTGACCAGGAGGCTAAAATTCAATATAGTAAGCCTGTTTTATAAAAGTTAACACATTCGCTAATCGCTACTGATCTCCACATATATTATGCGACACTGCGGTCATTGTCATGGACCGAGGTATACATTTTAATATTACACAAAGATATAAGCTTTTTAATAACATTAGTACACCAACGCATATATGCAATTGCAGCCTACATATGCGATGGACCAAGGGTAGTCTATGGGAAGAAACCGGCTGTGGCTTATGTGAGACGCTGGTCCATTTGAATTTAAGATTTAGTACTATTGCTGTAGCAAAAGTGTTAAGGCATAAGAAGTCGAGGCTTCTATCTACCTTGCACATATTTGATGTGAGTACATTTTATTTCACACCCTGTTAAAAGCATACAGACATACTTGCAAGGGAGCGGCCCGCCAAGCTTTTATTAACGGGCAGACTGGGCATATGCCCAGGGGCGCCGTGGTTGAGGGGCGTCTGCAAGGTGCCCCATATCCACCGCCCCCCCCTGCACCAGAAAAAAGGGGGGCGCTACTTTTGCCCAGGGCTCCACTGACCCTAAACACGGCCCTGCAAGGGCGTTGGGGCTTCAATCATAAAGGTTACTCTTTATCACAACCAAATAAAGATCCCACCATGGGAATCAACTAAATACAAATTGTTTGCTTAAAATAAACCTCAATTGGAAAAGTACCCAATTTGATATGTTTGGACCAAGTATTCATTTCAAAGTATTAACATCTTAAAAGGCTAATACTTACATTGGCTTGGCCCCTTGTAAACGCAGTATCGAGTCGATGAAAAAAGCTGGCATGAAGTGGAACAAAATATGTATTATCCAGTGCATAAAACGGTTGGTTCTGAACGAGAAGCCAGGGTACCACTGGATGTACTTAGTGGGAACATTAAGTGCGTGTTTCTTTGTGAGTTTGCCCAACTCATGCCAATAAATTCCATTCAGAGATCCTGTGGTACAGTTGTAAACTCTAGCTTTCTCGCCTCTGAAACATAAAATCCATCCAATTAAGAATCTTCACCCTTGTGAAAACACCAAAAAAATGCCTCGTATGTCCCTTGTTCTTGATTAATAAGGAATGTTAAAAAATTCTCCCTACACATTAATGTTGGTTCTAGAGCCCTCATACCTGGTATGTCGAAGGAAATCAATTGTATAAGTACAAAAAAATCTTAAAAGTAAAGTAAATTGAGTTACTTCTAAACATTGATAAAACTATTTATTTTTTCCATTTTTAAATTTTTGAGGTATAATAGCTCTAATATAACTTTTTAACTAAATTTTTACCAAGTTTCAAGAAAATTTGTTGAAAAACTTTGTCTGAGATGGGGGACAAAATTGATGTTTTGACGGAGGCTACTGCACTACTAGTCTTTTACAAAACTTGGCTCAGGCGGCAGATGAGTCACCGATGTGTTGTTTTAGTAGCCGTGTGTTTACGATGTTTTCAGAATGGCATGTATAATGACCCCGTACTATCCGCCCAAGGTCTTACCCCCAAAACGCAACTACCGGTCGATTTTGGCCAATCCATAAAATTTGAAGGGTTTCATTGCTTTTGTTTCACGTTTGTGATTCATTCATAGAAAGAGCACAAAAAGAAATAAACGAAAAGCTATCGGTGATTTGCAGCATCTAACCCAGAAGGTCTCAGATAAGTGTTACCTGTAAGTGTGGACATGCCACGCTGCGGCCACGAGAGTGTTGACGACTGTGTCCACTGGTACAATATCCACAGTCAGCTGATCATCACAAATGATGCTGCGGATTGTACCTCTGCCAATCTCCATCATGATCCCTGTGATTCCGCTGATGTTGTCAACCCAGCCAGGCACCGGCTCTTTCCATGCAGCTGTTACTGCAATTAAACCCAGTGTTAGTGACATTTCAGTTGAAGATTGAACACAATTGGAAAAATACTTTAGATGTTTTAGAGTGTTGAACTTAAATTATTTCTAAAATAGTTGGTTTGTGAATTTTACTTTTTGTTTTTTATAAATGGATATCATACAAAGGGGGCTTGAGGATAGATTCTTAGGAGCTGCTAGGGGGGAATTACCTAGCATTTTGAGTTTACTCACCCTCCCCCCTCCCCTTACATGTCATTAACATTGAAAAACTAAAATATTATATTATTCATTGTGACTCTTGGTTGGAATATATTATTGATCAAATAAAATGATTACCTTATCCAACTACAGTTCCCAAATAGTTGTTCCTTAATACTTCATCAGGCCATTTTGTATGCAACCACATGATAAACATATACATTGTGGTATATCAATAGATTCTTTAAAAAAACTTTCACAGTCACAATAATTGAAACTTGTCATGCTGATAAAATAGTTCAAAAATAAAAATTTATAAAACTGATTAAAACTGTACAGTCTGGCCAGCACTGCCTTGCCACTGCCACTGACTAAATGAAACAATGAAATAACACTGAGTGAATCATGCTGTTTCTTCTTCTCTCCAGTGCCACCTGTATTTCAGTTTGTTTTATTCTTCTTATTTTATACTTCTATAAAATATTTTTATGAATACTGTTTTTAAACTTTTCTACTCTAAATCCTATGGTTCATTCTGAGCCGTAATAAAAAATATTGTAAAATGTAAATGTTTTTCATAATGATTTTTGGTATATTATATGTGTAGTTTGAAAATCATGTATACATGAAAATGAAACTCGCTTGTGAATCTTTTTATTTATTTATTTACTGAACTTTTGTTGACTAGCTGAAATTATGACTCTTGGGTCCCAGGAAAAAAATCTTTGTACTTTAAACTCTAGACCAGCTATATCCTGTAATATAATATTAAAGGAGTGCAAAAGATACTAAACTCACAACATGGTTCAGGACCCAAAGTTCCGAAACAACCCAAATTTTTCAATAAAATCAAATGCTACTCAGTGTTGATAATTATGTTCGGTTCCTTAGTTACCTATGGAAGGACGGACGATAGCAGTCGGAAAAGAGTTGGCCTCCTCGTGAACAATCCACTCGGCCATCGCCTTGGTGAGTGTGTAGGTGTTGGGATGGTTACTGGTCTGTATGAGGCTTTCAGAAAGATCTTCTAGCGTCTGGTCATTAAAGGTCTGACAAAAGTCCATCACACCGGCCGGGCTGGCTGGGGGTTTGTATACGACTTCTTCGACAACTCTCTTGTCGGCGTTGGAGTAGGCTGTTGATATATGCACCAGCGCCTGGAAACAACAATGTAATGTTAGCGACAGACATCTTTATCGTACGTTGATGAAAATTTGAAGGGGAAAATCCAAGCCCTACCTTACACCTTTTAAACATTTCTCAGTTGTTTGAAAGCACCATCAGCCTGATGGAAAATTTTCTTGAGTTCTAATTAATTTTCCAAAGACTAGATTTGATTTCCAAAGTCTCAAGGATTGGTGTGATTATTTAAAAATATCCATCACCCTCTAATACTATACTAATCAGCCAGTTAATAGTTATATTTCGCTTCGATATAGGTTTATTTACTTGCATTCCTTGACTATGATTTAGTTTTTAAGTCCAGCAAAGTCGTATTTAATATTATTATTCTAGTATTGAATGAATAAGAAAAATAGATGAGTTTGGTTGCCCCAGCAATCAACAAACCTTTACCGGTACTAAAAGGTGTGGAGCACATAGAAAGATTTAGTGCAATTTCAATTGAATTATTTTTAAAACTTGAAACTCATAGCAATCAGTATATTTTGAATGTTATGAGGAAAACAAAGGAGAAGTACTTGGAGAGAAAGCTGGTCTAGTGGTAAAACGTGAGACTTCAGTCCCTGAAATCCACGGTTCAAATCCTGCCAATCGACCAGAATATTGCATTTGTTTAAGTCTAGTCTATTAAAATTAAATTTTGAAGGTTTTTGATCAAATACCTTAAGGTTATGGATGTTTGCACAGAACTCCACAACTCTTTGGGTAGCTCTAGTGTTGAGGTCGACGGCATCTTTCAGAGCTTCGTTGAATCGAACAGTCGCTGCGGAATGGAACACCACTGTTACCTCGGCTAGCAGACGGATGCGGTCGCACTCCGACAACCCAAAGTCCGTTTGTGTCAAGTCCCCAGATATAGGGACAATCTTCTTAAGCAAACCGCGGTTTTCTTCTCTGATTCGATCAAAAACCTAGAAACATAAACCACACTAAACTTTTGTATCGGTTGAAAAGGAATAGTTATTATTTGTTATTTTGTATTAGATAATGTGATTGCCATTTATTACTTTTTTTGTAACTGAACCATTACCAATGGAATCTGTCCAGAAATTATCTCCCTTGGGATCCAAGAAGAGACCCCAGGGCTGCTTTAATAAATGGTTTGTTGGGGACACAAGGAAGAGAGAAATTTCCCTACAAGGTAGGTGAAGATGGGCGCGATTATTTCACATGCAACCACAGGTCTGAGCAACCTACAGATTAAAAGGTAAGCACCAGCTACTTGGTTAACGAGTTAATAATATCGGTACATTAATAGTTTCAAAACCTTGACAGCCTTCCACGCTGTTTAACCGTACTTACTGTGTTTTTTAAAAGTTCTCTGAAGCGAGAATCCGGGTCCAAGCCTCGTTTTGGACGGATGAGGACGAATATTGTTGATATTTCTGGGCACGATCGAAGGAGTTTCTCGATGAGTGCTTTGCCCACAAAGCCCGTTCCCCCTGTGATCAGAACACACCCATCTCGGTAAAACTCCTGGACGGGGCTTGAGCTAGCCGCAAAGTTGGCCGCTAAGTTGTTGTTGCTGTCGTTCATATTCCTTACTTCCCCTCCATCCAGCTGAAATCTGAATGACATTTGCTAATGTAAGAATTGAATGAATATCTGCATCTTGTTCTTTGCGTTAGTTTTATTTTAGAAAAAAGCCTCGTATATTAAAAATTTAAAATTAAATTATAAAAGATATCAATGATTCAACTAAATATGCTTAAACTTTGAAATTAACAAAATTTTTTTTCGTAATTGGGAAAGTCAATAAAAAGGACTAGGGAACAGTATTTCTAACTCTTGTTTAATCATCATTGACTCATTTTAAGTAGGCTATATTTCAAATTCGTGAAATAATAAATAAATAATAAAAGAACTATCTGTACTGAAATTGTTCAATTAAAAAATTAACTTTTGCTGTTACAATGTAATTTTCAACTATTTTATCCTATTTTTATATATGAATCTATCACGTGTTTTGTCCGCTTTTAAAATTACAAAATTATGGATAAAGATATAATATTATACTTATAAACGTGACTCAGGTTTGCTGGGATGTCAGCCATTACAAAGGACCCCTATTGATTCCTCTCTTCCAATACATCCATAGTATCTGAAACAAACGGAAAAAATTAATCAAATCCTGTAAAGAAAATATTAAATTTTTAAAGTCAAAGTTCGAAATATGTCTAGGATATGCGATAACTGAGTATTTTTGTCCGATTTTGATGAAATTTGGCTTGAAGGTGTAGGGTGGGGTAAACTTGAATGAGTTTGCAAACCAGCATGATCAGACTATGGGAATGGGGTGTTATGGGGGGTTTTATTTAGTAAAAATTGGGTTTTCTCATTTTTGACCCTCAAAACACAAAATTTTAACATTTCTCTTTACACCATTTCAAAAAGCTCAAGGAAACAAATAATTTAGTACATTGGAGTGTTTTTGTGCAATTATTGGTTACGGAGAAAATTTAATAAATTGTAAATTTAAAATTACTAAGTTATTCTTATGGAGAATAAGTAAGCCGTTGTAGTTTGCTTGTTTATGAAAATATTATGATCAAATTTGAAAAATCCATTCATATTTTACTAAACTATTAACATTTTACAAAAAAAAAAAAAAAAAAAAAAAAACACTTGCGCAAACCCTAGTACTCGTTAAATTAATTATATTTAAAAAGGGAATAAATGTGATATTTTGAAGGAGGCATTTTAGAGTAAATCCAATCAGGCTAATGGAAATTCACTTAGTCTGCAGGTTTGCTATGGCGGGGGTATTTTAGTTTGTCTTTTAGTTTAGAAATGATACCTAAGAGAGTTCAGGAACACTCTGTATAAAGATTACCGCAAATGGTTATAGACCTCAAGTTAGCCAATGCAGCTTATACACACTCATGCCTCCATATTGCATCTGCCCGTGGCAAGGCGTTTCAGGCGAAATAGTCACTTCATCCGATTTGCGCAAGTTTGTACTAAAATCTACTGGCTTAACTAGTTTATTTTTTAAGTTAAAATATGTTTTAGTTGCCTGCCAGTTTGATATACAGGGTGAGTCCCTTCTAAGTACGTTAGTTTTTACCAATTATTCTTCTCACTAAAAGGAACAAAAAATGTATATAAACCCTGTTATGACCCGTTTAGCTGTTATGGCGTGATTAGTGATTTTTTTTATTGTATACTACTAACAAATAAAGATTATTTGAATTTGAATTTAAAACACGACTTTGTACTGTTAATTTGACATTAACAACAAACCCACATATTGATGTCATAGGAACTTATATCAGTTGAAAGGAAGTTAAATTTACTACAAATTAAACGTAAAACTAGAGTAACAACTCTTTAAACAATGATTTAAAATATGGTTTTAAGTGTAAAATGTATTTTTAACAAATTTTTAATTTAAAGACTAAAGAAAGTTAGTTAAATTTTGACAATTATAATATCAAATTAAATAAAAGTGTCCTTATTTATCTATATTTAAAAACACGTTTTAACATTAGGGGGCTATGTTTGGGGAAAAATTAAACTATTCCTTAAAAACCTGGTAAAAGCGCAGCATTCAGATTTATAGATTTAATGATAAAACACCAACCCTATAACTTAACTGTATACCTGTAATTTCATTACTAAATCAATTTATTGGTTAAATCAGCTGATTGGGAATTGAACATATTACAACAAAGTTTATTAATTTCAGCTGATGTTTGATTGTTGTATTGTGAACTTTAACTAAAGTTACTTTATTATCAATCTGCACAGAAGAAACTTAAATAACGTTGTTAATTCCGTTGTTTTGAATAAATTATCATGCTGTTTACTAGCGAAGAATATGTTGATATTTTAGCTGTTTACGGGTTTTGTTGTTATAATGCAGCAGAGACCGTGAATACGGTTGCCGAAATCCAAACAGAAGGCTTCCAAATGTGTGACTTTGCTCGTGCATAACTTTTTTCGCGAAAGTGGAACATTTTCAATCAATAATCGTTTAGTGGGATCTTCATGCAAGCTGTTAAAAAAATTAATACCCCCGCCGCAGCAAACCTGCCGACTAAGCGAATTTCCATTTGTCTGAATTGATTTTCAGTTAAATATATTTTAATAACATTAGGTTTAACGAGTACCTAGATTTGCTGCTACAAGGAAACTAATAAAGTGTGTTTTTGAGTAAAATATTGATAGCTTAGTAGAAAATAAATAAATTTGCCAAGTTTGATCAAAATATATTCATAAACAAGCAAACTACATTTGACAATATTCTCCATAAGAATAACATGGGAATTTTAAATTTAAAATTTTTTTAATTTTCTCCGTTACTAATAATCAAACAAAAATACTTTCATATACTAAATTATTTGTTTTTTTAAGCTCTTTAAAAAGGTCTAAAGAGAAATTGGGAAATTTTGTGTTTTGAGGGTCAAAAGTGAGAAAACCCAATTTTTACCCATAAAACCCCCCATAAAGCCCCGTTCCCATGGTCCGATCATGCTGGTTCGCGAACTCATTCAAGTTTATCCCGCTTTACACCTTTAAACCAAATTTCATCAAAATCGGACAAAATTACTCAAGTTATCGCGTTCACGGACGTATATATATATATAAGTCTATATATATATATATATATTTATATATACATATATAAAAATTTGAACGAATAGTGTTTTTGGCCTCTGGGGACATCAAAATGAAAAAGTAAATCGGTCCCGGGTCTAGGTCTTACCGTGCCACCTACGGTAATAGCTACTTCCCTATAGGGAAATTCGCTAAAATCCAATCTAACAAATTGAAATTCGCTTAGTCTACAGGTTTGTGTCGGTGGGGGTTTTTAACTATTATGTAGAATTATCTACTAATAAATTTATTTCATTTTTGATTACTATAGACCACTTATTTCCTGTTGTTTCAGTATCTACATTTGAAGAAATTATCCACGGCATTAAAACCTATGAAAGCACCAACCATATAACACGATGGTTTTTAAACCTTCGCAGTAAGATATGTTATGGAACAGCTGATAATAACATTTTGCATGCCCATAAAGATAACATGGGAACTTGAAGGTCAAAGGAATGGCTCAATATTTTAACGAATTCTTACTACAGACAAATAAACTTAAAAATCGACGTTTAAAATTTTATCGTAATTAACTTATTATCTGAAAAATAATTGTTTACAGAAATATCGCGATCTTTATTTTCTTTGCTAAGTTAAAAACCACAAATATAAACTGTTGTAAAATTTCTATAAAAGAGAGCTTTACTTGATTGAATCCATAGAAAACAAATTTTTATCAAACTATTTAAGCGATGAATCCGTTTTAGGGAAGTTCCCATTTAGGGAATAAGCTATTACCATATGTCTCATGGAATGACCTGGACCCGGGACCGATTTACTTTTTTCCATTTTGATGTCCCCAGAGGCCAAAAACAACATCCGTTCAAATTCACATGTATATATATTACTGTTGTAGTTTGATTGTTTATTGATATATTTTTATCAAACTTGTGCGAATTTATTTATTTTATTGATATGTTTTATTTTATTTAGCTATTGATATTTTAGTACCCTACACACACTTTATTACCCTCCCTGTAGCAGCAAACCAAGGTACCGGTATGCATTAAACCTAATGTAATAGATTGAATTGAAAATCAAATTAGGGAAATGGAAATTCGCGTAGTCTGCAGGTTTGCTGAGGCGGGGGGATTAATATTTTCTGAAGTTTATTCGACACGCATGTCGTTATAATTTTTTTAAATATATTTTACGTTATTTTTTGTTTTGGAAAGTGTTATTTATCATTCACTTTCAGTTTTTAAGGTTTAGAAAAAGTTGAATAAAAAACTATGAAACATTCATTTAAGTTTCTCTTCTCGGAAGTAATTTCTAAAGTCAATTGTTTGAAACCTATTATGGTTTATTGTTGGATGCTGTTTGTATTTGTGGTTTTATAGTGATATAATAATAAGATAACGATGAGTAAGATAGGTATCCTAGATTTATAAGAGCGTTAGACAACTTATTCGGAGAGATATATAAGCACAAGTTTAAACGATTCGACGATTCCTTACTTCGAACACCGAAGATGACGTCATTCAACAGCTGATTATTTACGCAGCTGGACTAAAAGTAAAATAAACATAAAATTTAGTTTATTGCAAAACATGTTATTATTTCATAAATCCAGTATAGGTTGGTAATTATTAGTGTTAATTTAAATAAAATGAACGCAGAAAAAATATGATTTGCATCACATGGTAATAAACTAATTTAATAAGCCCGATTAGAAATCATCAGATTTTTATTACATTTGTTACAAATGTGTAAACTAATCTAATTATTATGGTGCTATCTGGAAGACAATTGTTTACCGTAATAGTGCGATCTTTTATTTTCATTGCCATTTTCACGGGTCCAGCATGGTCGGACTATGGGAGCGGGTTTTACGGGTTAAAAATAGAATTTTCCCACAATTGTCCAAAAAAAAAACATCTTTTAATTTATTTCTGTGACATTTTGGGACTAAAAAGCTTACAATTAGGTATATTGAGGCGTTTTTGTGTGTCTAATGGCTATAGATAAAAAATTTTTAATTAAAATGCGAATGTTGTTGTAGTTTGCATAAATATTTGTTGATTCAAATTTGGAAATTTTTTTATTTCATACCAAGCTATCAACAGTTCAATGAAAAACACGTTTTACCACCTTTCCTGTAGCAGCAAACCTAAATACTCGTTAATCTAATGCAATTTAATAAGGAACATTCTGATATTTTTAGGAATTGCGACGGGGGTATCTTATTTAACGTTTACAATTTTTTACATAACTTAACATATCATATCTGTTATAAATTTATTCAATATGGAATAGTCAATAGAATTATGTATCTTTTATATTTTTTACAATTCTCAACTAACTAAAAGGCCCTGATTTATATTTCTTCAGTAATACAGTACGATACCAACCTAAGTAGTTTGTAGTAATTTGAAGAAACCTGATCTAATTTCATACAATATTTGCAAGAGTTATCTTCACGAAAGTTTTAGCTTTTCTAAAGGCAATTTAATCAGATATAGGGAGGACGGTCTCTGACCACAGGATCCTCTAATGTGAAGGAAATGTTCAGAAACACAGTCTCTGGGGTTTCTTTACTGATCCGTGCGTGCTGACATTTCCTTCAACTTAAAAAACCTCTTTACATTATTTAGATTGTTTATTTTTTTAATGTCTTTTAAGTGCATGTGTTACCAATTTACATAAAGAATGTCTCATAGGGCCTTACAAAACAAAATCTCTACTCTCTCAGGAAATTTAAGAAAAGAAAGGCCCTTTAAACTTTTCATCATATTTTCTACAGATACTGCCAAATATAGTTATTTCCTTAAAGAACTCGAGACCTCTAATTTGCTGGCATAACCTGACTTTATCTTTATCCTTGTGTCCGATTTGAATTTTCACACCGTATTTATGTTGCTATTATACAAATGCATAATAATCCTAATCACGAATTTATAGGTAAAATAAATAAACAATATTCTCAATAGATTAGAGCCGTATATAGACGATAAAAAATGCTTACTTGGGAAGAGGAATCCAAATAAGTAAACACTGAAGGACACCGAACTTCTCACTGGCACCTGACGAACTAAACCTAGGGAGATGACGGGCTACCGGAGTCTGGAGGAAGAAAGTGAGAGTTAACGAAGAAAGTGTGGCGTTTTGGTTACGATAACTGGGATGACGCAACATCACCCCACTGCTGGTGTTGACCTTGGTATTGGTGACCCCAGAAACTGTAGATCAGGTGTCAGATTGTGGACCAAGTACAGTGTAGTACTTATGTCTAGCTATACTTGGACCTTGGTATTGGTAACCCCAGAAACTGTAGATCAGGTGTCAGATTGTGGACCAAGTACAGTGTAGTACTTATGTCTAGCTATACTTGGACCTTGGTAGTGGTGACCCCAGAAACTGTAGATCAGGTGTCAGATTGTGGACCAAGTACAGTACAATACTTATGTCTAGATATACTTGGACCTTGGTAGTGGTGACCCCAGAAACTGTAGATCAGGTGTCAGATTGTGGACCAAGTACAGTACAATACTTATGTCTAGCTATACTTGGACCTTGGTATTGGTAACCCCAGAAACTGTAGATCAGGTGTCAGATTGTGGACCAAGTACAGTACAATACTTATGTCTAGCTATACTTGGACATTGGTATTGGTAACCCCAGAAACTGTAGATCAGGTGTCAGATTGTGGCCAAGTACAGTACAGTACTTATGTCTAGCTATACTTGGACCTTGGTATTGGTAACCCCAGAAACTGTAGATCAGGTGTCAGATTGTGGACCAAGTACAGTACAATACCTAGCTATACTTGGACCTTGGTATTGGTGACCCCAGAAACTGTAGATCAGCTGTCAGATTGTGGACCAAGTACAGTGTAGTACTTATGTCTAGCTATACTTGGACCTTGGTAGTGGTGACCCCAGAAACTGTAGATCAGGTGTCAGATTGTGGACCAAGTACAGTACAATACTTATGTCTAGCTATACTTGGACCTTGGTAGTGGTGACCCAGAAACTGTAGATCAGGTGTCAGATTGTGGACCAAGTACAGTACAATACTTATGTCTAGCTATACTTGGACCTTGGTAGTGGTGACCCCAGAAACTGTAGATCAGGTGTCAGATTGTGGACCAAGTACAGTACAATACTTATGTCTAGCTATACTTGGACATTGGTATTGGTAACCCCAGAAACTGTAGATCAGGTGTCAGATTGTGGCCAAGTACAGTACAGTACTTATGTCTAGCTATACTTGGACCTTGGTATTGGTAACCCCAGAAACTGTAGATCAGGTGTCAGATTGTGGACCAAGTACAGTACAATACCTAGCTATACTTGGACCTTGGTATTGGTGACCCCAGAAACTGTAGATCAGCTGTCAGATTGTGGACCAAGTACAGTGTAGTACTTATGTCTAGCTATACTTGGACCTTGGTAGTGGTGACCCCAGAAACTGTAGATCAGGTGTCAGATTGTGGACCAAGTACAGTACAATACTTATGTCTAGCTATACTTGGACCTTGGTAGTGGTGACCCCAGAAACTGTAGATCAGGTGTCAGATTGTGGACCAAGTACAGTACAATACTTATGTCTAGCTATACTTGGACCTTGGTAGTGGTGACCCCAGAAACTGTAGATCAGGTGTCAGATTGTGGACCAAGTACAGTACAGTACTTATGTCTAGCTATACTTGGACCTTGGTAGTGGTGACCCCAGAAACTGTAGATCAGGTGTCAGATTGTGGACCAAGTACAGTACAATACTTATGTCTAGATATACTTGGACCTTGGTAGTGGTGACCCCAGAAACTGTAGATCAGGTGTCAGATTGTGGACCAAGTACAGTACAATACTTATGTCTAGCTATACTTGGACCTTGGTATTGGTAACCCCAGAAACTGTAGATCAGGTGTCAGATTGTGGACCAAGTACAGTGTAGTACTTATGTCTAGCTATACTTGGACCTTGGTAGTGGTAACCCCAGAAACTGTAGATCAGGTGTCAGATTGTGGACCAAGTACAGTGTACTACTTATGTCTAGCTATACTTGGACCTTGGTATTGGTAACCCCAGAAACTGTAGATCAGGTGTCAGATTGTGGACCAAGTACAGTACAATACTTATGTCTAGATATACTTGGACCTTGGTAGTGGTGACCCCAGAAACTGTAGATCAGGTGTCAGATTGTGGACCAAGTACAGTACAATACTTATGTCTAGCTATACTTGGACCTTGGTATTGGTAACCCCAGAAACTGTAGATCAGGTGTCAGATTGTGGACCAAGTACAGTACAATACTTATGTCTAGCTATACTTGGACATTGGTATTGGTAACCCCAGAAACTGTAGATCAGGTGTCAGATTGTGGCCAAGTACAGTACAGTACTTATGTCTAGCTATACTTGGACCTTGGTAGTGGTGACCCCAGAAACTGTAGATCAGGTGTCAGATTGTGGACCAAGTACAGTACAGTACTTATGTCTAGCTATACTTGGACCTTGGTAGTGGTGACCCCAGAAACTGTAGATCAGGTGTCAGATTGTGGACCAAGTACAGTAAAGTACTTATGTCTAGCTATACTTGGACCTTGGTAGTGGTGACCCCAGAAACTGTAGATCAGGTGTCAGATTGTGGACCAAGTACAGTACAGTACTTATGTCTAGCTATACTTGGACCTTGGTAGTGGTGACCCCAGAAACTGTAGATCAGGTGTCAGATTGTGGACCAAGTACAGTACAGTACTTATGTCTAGCTATACTTGGACCTTGGTAGTGGTGACCCCAGAAACTGTAGATCAGGTGTCAGATTGTGGACCAAGTAGAGTACAGTACTTATGTCTAGCTATACTTGGACCTTGGTAGTGGTGACCCCAGAAACTGTAGATCAGGTGTCAGATTGTGGACCAAGTACAGTACAGTACTTATGTCTAGCTATACTTGGACCTTGGTAGTGGTGACCCCAGAAACTGTAGATCAGGTGTCAGATTGTGGACCAAGTACAGTACAGTACTTATGTCTAGCTATACTTGGACCTTGGTAGTGGTGACCCCAGAAACTGTAGATCAGGTGTCAGATTGTGGACCAAGTACAGTACAGTACTTATGTCTAGCTATACTTGGACCTTGGTAGTGGTGACCCCAGAAACTGTAGATCA